TGTTATAAACTGTTTCGACTTCACAAATCGAGCTGCGACAGCTTCGTCCTCGTACACATAGAATTTTCTTTTAACCCTAGTCAGATAGAACCATTTTTCATCAATATGCACATATTCGTGCATATTTGAAAAATTCCGCCAATAGAAAAAACTACCTAACAACTATTTTGGACCAGAGTAGTACTCACTATTAGATCTTTAATCGGTTTTGGGTCTTGGGGAAGTTGTACGAGCAGCTACATGGGCGAGGGCATACTGGCCTGTGACCACAATAACTGGACCGAGGACGCCCAAGTAGCCGAGGGCGGTAAACATGTCGAGCTGGAGCCAGTACAACCCAAACAGAGCCAGCACGGACAGAAGCGACACGAGGAACGCTACCGACCACACGATGCCGGCGACGGACGACGGCAACTTTGGCAGGGATGAGGCTCGCAATGACCCCCCTACGAACGCCACCAGTGGCACGCCCACAAGCGCAGTGAACACGATCGAGATGGCGGGCGGGGGGGTCGTGGGGGGTGGTCTCATGATGTGGGTGATCTCGGGGAGGGCTTGCAGCGTTGTGTCGCTTGTGTGCAAGAGCGGGGTCGTGTACAGCGGAGTCGGCGACGCGGGCGGGGCAGGGGGAAGCTCCACGTTGATTTGACCGAGCTCCCATGCAAGAGCGTTCTAGGATGAGGCGGAATAGAAACGGAGAGATGGATAGGCTAAGGACATACGTGGAAATGGATGTCGCCGACGACCAACGATACGGTGTGGAGACCAGAGAGGAGACCACGCGACGCGACAGACACGACCGCGCGCATCGCCGTCGCTTGGTACGGCTCGAGGACAATCGTAGCGTCGACGCTGGACTCGTGGGCGAAGCGAAGCACCGCGTGATGGGGCACCACTGGCGTCAACGTAGATGCGTCTTGAAGCTCCACTTCGACGGAGAATGTATCGCGCGGCGTTAGGTTGACGACCGATGACAACGTCGATCCAAATGGGAGGTTGATGCCCTGCACGACTGCTGACGACAGCGATACCGACGTAGTCAACGTCGCATGGAACACTTTGCTGGCTTTGCCATCCTGCACCAGCAGCTTGTATAGCCCAGGAATGGCCAACGCACCGTCCAACGTGAACACTGCCTCGTTGTTGGACTGTCGTTCCAACGGAATGTCGGCGGCGACGGTGGCAAGTGTCACCGCGTCCTGGATGGATTTGACCACTGGAGACGCATCTTCGACTCCCGTGAAGACAAACGTAACGGCTTCTCGTGCAGGGTGGACAGGATTGGTCAATTCCAGTGCCGTGCCAAGCAATGCTATCGCGAGGACTCCGGCGACGCGCTGCATGAGCGGGATGGCGCACGGCCGCAACACAAAAGTTATGGTACCTGTTTCATTTGATATTCATGCAGAATGAATAAAGATACAATAGGATATTTGAAAATGCCTGTTATAATGCATACATACATGTTGAGAAGAACGCCGCGTGGACGTTGTAAGGATGCAAGTGTATAAGGTAAGACGGCCTTGGCCTTATCATTCACATGCAGATCCTAGTAAGTTAGGACTCGGCGATTGCCGCTGGATTCGACTGCGAGGACGTACAGTCGTTATTGGTGTTTTGCATAACGTTAGATTCACTGTCAACCGGTGTTTCTCATACTGCCGGCAGTACATCTTCAATATGCAGTCCGTCCGAAGTGATGCTCAATGCGGTTGTCATAAGCGTAGCTAGACAAGTACAGGTACGATGATCCATGCGTCCGTCAACGGGATGCCTTACAACGCCGCCTGCGTCTTATAATGTTCGTATATGCGCGGCGAAGTGTCTGCAAATATAAAAGCGAGGATTTTTAGCCAATGGGGAAATTAAATTATTCTATTATAGCCAATAAAAACTTATAAATTGAGTATTTTGACCAATGAGAGGTCGAAATCGGAGGGGGTCGTTTCGTTTTGGTGTTTGGCTTGTGGGGTTTTTTGACCAAAAACTCGAGTATTACTACTGGGAAGGAGGAGTGAGGGAGCCGCCGACGCCGCCCGCCATTTCGCCGACGTCCATCTCAAGCACATCTGACCCGAACGACAACCACAAAGGTTTGCCGTAAGGTCACATCTGTAGAAGAAGGAAGAACGTCATCCACGAGTCCATACGTGTGAAAGAGTCTTGGCCAACCACTGTCTGGTCGACCTTCCATCAGCATCCACAACAACGCAGTAGTTCCCTCGGGCAAAGCACGAAGGAACGTCGTATTTGTTGCTGCTTTCCCTGGAATCGTCCATCCCATTCTAGGTAAGAGCTACTAGTTCCAATGGTGTGTTCTGTCGCGGTGTCGATCGTCCATGTGGTGTCCGTCGACGACGACGACGTCTGAAAAAGGACATGTTGCTGGGATTTGTCCTGTTTCGTTCACGTGTACGAGTGCAAGTCTCACGTGTGTGTATCTAACGTAGACGCCACATACCCTTCCTCGAGAACAACGTACTCACAGAAGGCATCAAATGAACACAGTACGTGGCTCCATCATGTGGGGACCGTGCATGATCGTTGACTTTTTGACAGCAATTGATCAACGCGGAGCTGCAACCCCCGCCCAACCTCATCCCCAATCCAACACCTGCCGAGTCCACCCCAGCCGCCGCCGCTGTGCCCGCGGCCGAGCCTTCTTCAACCCCCATTCCTCCCCCACCAGGCCTCGCCACGTCCTCCACCCTTGCCGCGTCACCCGCCATCCCCATGCAGACGCCAGTATCGACTGCACCTGCCATCTCTACGACAGCGATCGCCCCCCCCGCAGATTTGGACGACGCCATCGATTCTACCTCGGAAGGAAGTGCGACCGTCAACGCTTTGGGCGACGAGTGGCGAAACAAGGAGAACGATCGCTCCGCTCGGCAACACATTGCGCGCATCATGTACGCCGTCGTTTCATGTGTCTTTCCCCTTTTGCATACCCTTATATCGACATATAGCTTGAGTTTAATCATGAAGAGCGCGAACCGGCCTGCTTCCAACAACTACAATCCTCGGGAGATTGCGCGGCGGCTGGAGCATACGCTGTACATGAATTCGTCGTCAAAGGAAGAGTACAGCAACTTGACCACGCTCAAAGTCCGCCTCCAGCGGGCATTGGACACGTCCCGACGAAGGCAGCAAGAAGCGCAACTCAAGCAAAGCGGGGGGGCACCGCCAGCCGCCGATGCATCCGCCGCCCCCTCGGCCGCCGGTGCACAGAAAGCCGCTCCCGCCACGCCTTCCGCTGGGGGACCGATCAAACCCCCTCCAGCCGCCCACGCGGCCCAGCTAAAAGCAGTCCATTCGCAAGCCATGCAGATGCAGCTCCAGAAAGCTCAGTTTCAAGCGCAAATGCAGCTTCTCAACAAGCCCCAGCCGCCACCACCACCGGCGTCCGCCGCCACCGCGACCTCGAGCAGTGGTGGTGGCGCGTCGTCGTCTAATATTTTGGAAGAACTCGAACGCGAAGCCGACGAAATGGCCGGGGGGATCAGCGACCAGCCGTTGGAAATGCCAACATCCGAGCTCGAAGCCGCTTCGTCCGTGGCGCCAACAACGTCGACGAATGCCAATATGCTCAACATGCCCCTGAACATGCTCAATATGATGCAGAACCGCGGGGTCCCGTACGGAATGAATCTGCTGAATGGAAACGCTCCATATGTGCATCCGCAGCTACAGCTGCAACAGCTCCAACAGATGCAAATGCAGCAGCTCCAACTGCAAAAACTCCAACACATGCAGCAGATGCACCACATGCAGTTGAATGCCGCGGCCAAGGTCACCACCACGGGAACCACGGGAACCACGACAGCCGCCACGCACCTCCCGCAAGCGGCGGCGGCGGCCACTCAAGGCGGCGGCCCCACGCAGCCGCTGGCTCCCCCCATCATTCCATCTTCGTCGTCTTCCACGGCGGGGGTGGCGCTGTCGATGCCGCCGGGGCTCGCGGGGGAAGTCACGCCCAAGCAACGCCGCGAAGAGTTTCGGAAACGGCTGATTCAACTCAAACATGCGCGAACGTGCCAGAGCACCCCGTGTGACGAACTCTTTTGCGCCAAAGTCAAAGTGCTGCTGACCCACGTGTCCAACTGCTCGGATGCCGAGTGCACGACCATCGGGTGCAAGTCGACGCGGCAGCTGCTGTCCCACTACCGCAAGTGCCGAGACATGCAGTGCTACGTGTGCACGGCCATCCGCACGCAAAACCCGACCAACCAAGCGTTTGTCCTGCGTCGGCAGCAAGATCGGCTGTGCATGCTCCGCCACGCGTCGACGTGCGCGGCGCCGCAGTGTCCGATGGCGTACTGCGTCGACATGAAGGTGCTATGGAAACACATTTGCGACTGCCGCCAGACCCAATGTCCCACCGACCACTGCATCAGTTCGCGGTACGTGTTGTCCCATTTCAAGCAGTGCCAAAAGCCAGACTGTGGCGTCTGTGTCCCCGTGCGCCACGCCATCAAAATCATCGACTCCACCAAAACCAACCCGCAGGAACTCCAGGCGTTGGCGTCGTCGTGCCCGAACGAAGTTAAGATTTTGATCCGGCAAATGACCACGGTCCCCATCTCGATTCCCATGCAGCACCAGCAAGGAGGTGGGTTAACCATGATGGGCCAGCAGTCCATTGGCGATATGAAGCCACCCCAGTCGATGCACATCATGGGGGCAGCCGCGCCCACGCAGGCCGCCGCTGCTAAGCAAGAGATGCCACTGGGACCGCCAGCGAACTTGACGGCGGCTCTTGCCGCCCCCGCGACCAAAGCGCCGGCGAAACCAAAGGCAAAGTCCAAAGCGGGTGTCAGCGGGGCTGCTGCTCTGGGTACCCCGACTCAAGCGACGGGCAAACCCGTCAAGTCGGAGGGCAAGGCCAAGAAGGGCGAGTTGGCGACCCCCGTCCCCCAAACGGGAGCTGCGGCGTCCAAGAAACCACTGGCGACGGATAAAGAGAAGAAGGAGATTCGCAAACTCAAGGCGGAAAAGGCCAAGGAGCGCCAGCAAACCAAGCTCGGCGTGAAACCGGCGCACCCCCCCACCGCTGGAATCTCGGCCATCAAGATGGAGCCAGAGTTCAAACTCCCCTCAGTCATGCCAGCGAGTTCGCCGACCAACGTCCTAAACAACGAACAAGACATTTCGTACTTGGACTCGATGACGGAAGCACAGCTCGACGAACACATCAAGTCGCTCCGGTTCAACTTTTGCGGCCACATTTCGCTGGTCGAGCTCAAGAACCGGCTGCTGCCGCTGCTGACCGCGATCATGGAGACGGAGCACGGATGGGCGTTCAATACCCCCGTGGACCCGATCCAGTGGAACATCCCCGACTATTTAGACGTAATCAAGTGTCCTATGGACCTGGGAACGATCAAGAAGCGTCTTGAAAGCGAGCACTACGTGAGCGTCGACTCGTTTGCGTCGGACGTGCGGCTCACGTTTGAAAACTGCATCGCGTACAACAGCAGCACCAACAAGTTCAACCAGGCGGCCAAGCAGCTGCTGGTGCAATTTGAAACGGCGTTGATGGCGTTGAAGGAGCAGCTCGAGTCGGAACTCAAGAGCCGGTGCGAACAGCGCCGCGAGGAGATGTGCCAATTGTGTGGCGGCGACTCGTTCAAGTTTGCGCCGTGCATGTTGTTTTGCAGCGGACCGTGCACCGGTCGCATCCGCCGCCACACGCATTACTATAGCGACCCCCGCGGCGAGTTTCACTGGTGCTCGAGCTGTTTCAAGCAAATGAAGGATGGTCCGCTCGACATGACCCTGCTCCCCGTGTCGGCCACCGCCTCGACGGCCGACGCGCCGCTCACCAAAGCGCTGCTGCTCAAGAAAAAGAACAGCGAAGTGGCCGAGGAGCCGTGGGTCGCATGTGATACATGCAAGCTGTGGTACCATCAGATTTGCGGACTATTCAACGAGCGCAACCACGCCATCTCGGGCGAACAAGAGCTGTTTGTGTGTCCATTTTGCACGATCAAGGCGCGGCAGGCCGGCCAAGCGCCTCAAACCAAGTTCCCACTGCAAGCGAAGCGGCTGCCCATGACTCGGATGGCGGCGCGCATTGAAAAGCGGGTGGTCGACGCGTTGGCCAAGGCGCAGGCCGAGGAGCTGGCGCGGTTAAACTCGCTGGGGAACGTCGAGAGCGACGGGACCAGCGCGCTGCACCCCAAGACCGCGACGCCCGTGCCGTCGTTCGCCATAACGATCCGCGAAGTGCTGAGTGTGGACAAGCAGGTGCAGATCAAACAGCGCATGGCCAAGCAGTTTGTGGCCAAGGAAAGCGTCAAAGCGTCGGACGGCGCAGCTGTCAAGCGCAGCAAAAGCAACGGGGACATGTCGGTGAAGAAGGTCAAGGTGGAAGCCATGGACCCGTCCAAAGCATCGTCGGCAGTCGTGAAGAAGGAAAAGAAGGACAAGTTTGAGCTCACGTACCGGTCGCGATGTGTGTGTGTGTTTCAAGAGCTGGACGGTGTCGACGTCCTCATCTTTACGCTGTACGTGCAAGAGTATGGCGAAATGTGCGCCGAGCCCAACCGCGGCCGCGTCTACGTGTCGTACTTGGACTCTGTGGCGTACTTTCAACCGAAAAAATTTCGCGTGTTGATGCACCAGCAGGTCATTTTGGGGTTTCTAGACGACGCCAAGATGCGCGGGTACCACACGGCACACATTTGGTCGTGCCCGCCGTTGAAAGGCGACGACTACATCTTTTTCTGCAAGCCAGACAACCAGAAAATACCCAAGGCGGCGCGGTTGCGGTCGTGGTACAGCAAGTTGCTCCAGGGCGCGAAAAAGGAAGGGCTGGTGTACAACATTAGCAACCTGTACGCTGAGTACTATATGAAGCGGAAGACTGCGTTGGAGTTGCCGTACTTTGAGGGCGACTATTGGCCGCGTTTGGCCGAAGACTTGATCAAACAAGTCGAGGATAAAACCAAGCCGCCGACGAAACCCAGCCAACGAAAGAGCAGCGACTCCGCCGCCTCGTCGGACTATAGCGCCATTCCTCCCGACGTGTCCGTCCCTGCCGCTACTACTAGTACCAAGCACCAATCTGGCAAACACAAGGGCGAAGTCAATATGGACCCGATCATGCAAAAACTCAAAGCCATCCTGGAGCCGCAAAAGGAGGACTTTTTCGTTGTGGATTTACACCCTCGATGCCACAAGTGCAACGCAGGCGTGATCAACCGGCCGTACTGGATCCTCAAGACGCTCGTGCCGTCCCCCGACGGCATCAACGACGTGATTGAAGCCCTGAAAAAAGCCAAGTCGGCTGCCGTCAAGTCGTCCATGCTGCCGCGCCACTACCACCACTACTATTGCGCGTCATGTTATGACAGCAGCAAGAACACGCTGCAGTCGCGCGTCGATGCGTCGATCGTGGGCGCGAAAAAAGCCCAAGACATTTACGCTGCCGTCCAAGCCGCCAACAGCGACCCCATGACGTTCAACTATGCCGGCCACGACATCTTGGACGTCAAGTACGAGCTCCAGTTGACAAGTTCCGTGAGTTCGCTGCTCCTCGAGGGCGAACCGCCGAGGCCGAACCTGGCGCTGGAGCCCGACACGGACGAACTCATGCCGTGCGAGATCTTCGACACGCGCGAAGCATTCCTCATGTACTGCCAGAACAACCATTGCCAATTTGATCAAATCCGCCGCTCCAAGCACTCGTCCATGATGGTGCTGTATCACTTGTTCAACCAAGGCACGACCGGGTTTACATTTACGTGCCACAAGTGCAGCATGACGCTGACCAGCGGCAAGCGGTGGAACTGCTCGATCTGCCTCAACTTTAACCTGTGCGAAGGCTGCCGCGCCAAAACCAAACACGAGCACCCGCTCCATGCATTCCAAATCGTGTCGATTCCACAGCCCAAGCACAAGACGTCGGCAGAAATCGACATGCACAACATGGAGGGATCGTCCATCTTACTCGACACTGCCTCGTCCAGCCGCAAGAAGAATGCAAAGAAACGCCCGGGACCTAAGAAGGGCAAGGGCAAAGGGGGCCATGCGGGGTCGTCGAAGAAGGCCAAGATGGACGCGTCGAGCCAGCCACCGGACGAACCTGCGCTCGCCACGCCTGCGATGCCGTTCCCCAGTGCCCCCCCGCCCACTGCTAGTACTAGTGCGCTGCCACACTCTGTCGCAACTGCCGTTCCTTCTACCCCCGCGACCACGGGGGGGGTCGTGACTACAACCACCCCAAGCGTCTCCACCGCAGCACCGGTTGCTCCTCCGTCAGTGGCGCCCCCCGTCGCTGCCCCCACGACGCCAACCGGTCCCAGCGCTTCTGCTGCATCGGTCAACCAGCAACGTATCCACAACGTTGACCCCCAGCTGCTCGTCCAGCTCGAGCACGCCAGTTTATGCAAATTAAGTGACGCGTGCACATACACCAATTGCAACCGGATGCGAGCGATGCTCAAGCACGGCGCCACATGTGAGGCGCGCAAGGTCGGGCCGTGCCAGCTGTGCAAACGCATCGTCGGACTCTTGAGCGCCCACGCCAAGCAGTGCGTCAAGCCCATCAGCGAGTGCCAAGTGCCCCGGTGCACGGAAATCCGCCGACTCGTCGAGCAAAGTCAGCAAAAGCAAGCGGCGGCGGCGGCGGCAGGCGGGGGGCCAGTCCACCCGCTGCAGCAATAAGAGGAAACCGCCGCCGCCGCCGATCGAATCGGTTCGTTAGACAGATCCAAGCTGGGCGTGGATGAGGCCATGAAGTATTGTCGCTGCTAGGTAGCGACGGGTGGGAGTAAATAATACTAAGTTATTTTGCAGTAGCCCTTGCAGTAGTACAAAGTAAATACTTCGTATCCGGCTACAATTGAAAGTAATAATTAGTGTTACTTAGTTGAAACTCTGTACTATTAATAGTAGTACGTATGTAGTACAGAGTAATGCAAATTAACTCAAATATATATGAATATATTTATATAATGAGTTGAAAGAGCTATTGTTAAATACCGATCGCCTTGGCCGAATCGACTATGTCGGCGCGAGACCGGGGGTACACGACCGAGTAGTGAAAGTCCACGTCGAATGGCTCGAGGCGGTGCATGTGTTCTGCATATTCCTGCATCCATACCCCCGCGAGACTAGCTTTAACGTCTGGTGGGAAAAACGAGTAGACGGCTTCAAAGTCATTCTCTGGGAGTGCATGCTGCATCCACGCCACGAGCTTGGCCACGAACGTGCCTTCTTCCGCGTCGGCGCGGATGTGCGAGAAGAGATTGCTGAACGCTTCCATCTCGAGGGCTGGGGTCATCACGATCAAGTTGGCCTCGCCCACCGCCTTCTCCTCGTCGCGAAGCACACGTTCGACTTCGTCCAGACACTGAAGCACCTTATCGCTGTACGGCGCGCCAGCGGGAACCCAAAGCGACTCGTCGTAGCACTTCTGGACGAGATGGTACTGCGTGGCCACCTTGATGGCTTTGTTGGTCATCTGGCCCTTGTCTTGCAGCAGTCGCTGCTTGAGCACGTCGCACAACGTCAAATGGTCGAGGAACTCTTCAAACCACTTGGAAAACTCGATTTTGTCCGCTTCTGATGCACGCAGCAGACCCCCAGACAAGAGCAATCGCCGCGCGTGAAGCATGTCCACGTACAGCGGCGCGTTGAGGACGCCAAAGCTTTGCTCGTCCCACGAAAAGCTGAGCGACGTGCTGCCCCATGTCAACGGCAACGACTCTGGCGGCGACGACTCTTCCTCGTCATCTTTGTCCTTGATCCAATGCAGTAGTGTGTGGATAAAGTGGCTGCTCTTCTTATCCTGGTGCTGCTGTAACCACACAATCGTGCGCTCCACTTCGTCCTGCGTCACCGGTCGAGACGCATGGCAGTTCGCGAGTTGGTTGTCGATTGCCACCAACGTCGTCATCTGTTCAACGAGGCGCATGGCCTGCGCGTCCTTCTCGACCACCTCCTGCAGCGTCTGCTGGTTCTCCGTCCACTCCGACGTGGCGGTAGGGCTCATCATTGTTGGCATGTTGAATAATGTGTCGAGGAATCTTCTCCACTTCCGCCGTTGCGTCTTTGTTTCTTGCAAAAAGCGTCGTTCAAAGTGCGTGGCTTTGCAACCAAGCTTTTATCTTGGGATTTGTATGATCCCTTTAAGTCCGATTCATGAAAACTCTATGGGGTCTCGAATTCCCTCGAAACAACACAACGGTGTTACTACGTAATCATTTTGGCCATAACAATGTTCAAATTTCCTTATATCAACAATCCGGATAATAATCCGTAGGAGGATGTCTTACCACTCACCGTTTACGTACGGATTATTTATTATCCGGAGTATCGATTTGAGGATGCCCAACAAAAATGATTACGTAGCATTTGCAACATCAGTGTTTCTTCAAGGGAATAGCTCCTTAAGTGCTACGTACTTTTACTGTGCTTTGGAACTTATTTGGCAGTCATATTGGTAGAGGCCAGCTTCAAATGATTTACTATTGATAGTAGATTTTCTGCCAAAACGCATGCTTAATCTGCATTATTATAGGCCTGAATGATACAGTAGCAAAAATGGATTCTGACTCCAGAATTATGATAATCTAGGTTTTTTACTGGTAATCTGGATTATGTCAAAAAGTTGCACCGAACACAATAGGATAAGCTAAAAATGCCGTTTTCAAAATGGACTTAAAGGCCCATTTTGTAATACTTCAAAGTATAGCGTTTTGGACCTCGTCAAGGAGTAAATCCCACGTGGAATTATTGGATTTGGGTTAAAACTCTTCAAGCAAGACATATTCAATCATTATTGTCGATGCCATTGAACTCGAGTCCAAAACTGTCCAATACTATGTACCACGACCAAGCACGAAATACCTTTACTTTGTAATTTGTACTCTCTTTCGACAAATACACAGTCACTGGTTTTGAGGCCTACTAGTAGTATGTAGGCCATTTGAGGTAGTAGGCCATCTGAGGTTACTTCCACTAGAATTTCCAGGTAATTAACGTTAACGTTATGTGTAAAATCCACCATGGATCATTATGGAGAACTTATCCGAGAGGTCTTCCTGCACAATTTTCGTGCGAACTTAGTGGGGACTTTTTCCACATTCGAAAAAATGGCGTCGACAACGGACTCCTCAGTGCTACGGTCGAAGGATCTGTTCACACTCGTGACGGCGTTCCAAGCAGGGTGGTATGCAGACACACGGATCCTGCTTCCACTCTTCTCGGGAAAGTTTTCCGTCGTGCGCCAGGTGGGGGTCGAAGCGACGGAGGCCGTGGCGCCTGGCGGCGGCCTGCTTTGCACGAGCGACGAATCGCTGCGTCGTTTCGACAAGGTGTGGGCACCCTGGTACGATACGCACCACGGCCTCCGCGGGGTTCGTCGCCTGCTTCGGTGTCGAGACTCGTGTCGCTACGTACTGTACGTGCATGCTTGTTGCTTTGGGTACGTCGACGTCGTCATGGAGTTAGTGGCGACATGGCCGATGTGCACCAAAATGCCTCGATATCTGGACCTAAGCGCTTGGAACGGGCAATTGCATGTGGTGGAGTATCTTCAAGAACATCAATATGACGAATGCGCAACAACCGCCGTCGATTGGGCGGCGCGACATGGACATTTGAAGATTGTAATGTTTTTGAATGGGCCAGTCACCCCACCCGAGCATTGCACGACCATGGCCATGGATTGGGCTGCCGAGGGCGGACATTTAGATGTTGTGACATTCTTGCACCACCATCGTACCGAAGGCTGCACCACCGACGCCATGGACTGGGCGGCGCAGAATGGACATTTGGAAGTTGTGGTATTTCTAGGCACCCATCGATTGGAAGGGTGTACGACATTGGCCATGGACATGGCAGCTCAAAACGGCCATTTGGAAGTCGTCCAATTTTTGCACGACCGTTATACGCACGTGGGTTGTACGACTGACGCGATCGATTTGGCGGCGATGCATGGCCATCTGGCGATCGTCCAGTTTCTCACGGAGAACCGACCCGAAGGCGGCACGGTCGACGCGTTGAATTGGGCGGCCGAGAATGGACATTTGGGCGTGGTGACGTATTTACATCCGCAGGTTTACGACAGCCATGCGGTCACGGTCGCCATGGACGGCGCCATCCAAGCAGGCCAATTGGATGTGGTCAAGTACTTGTACGACTTCCGAGTGGATCCGTTGAACATGTGGGCCCTGGCCATCGCTCGAGAAAGGCGACACCGTCACGTGTTGGAATGGCTACACTGGGCCATGAATCCCATCAGTCATCAAGTGCAGCCCGATGGACGAGGATGCATCTAGGGCAGAGTAAGATGGATACAAACGGTGAAAACATGAGTGTGAATCCTTGACCATTTATTCAACGTAACTGGGCTCTTGTTATATTGATTAGGGTCACAACTCGCTAACAATCGCAACGCGCTACGTACTACAGTAGTATTGTCGATTTTCTTCAAATTTCCCAATTTTGCATGGTTCGCTCAATCGAGCATAAATAGTGCCGAGGCATTTGATTGGCCAATATCCACTGCGCCCTTAACTCGAAAATGGATTGTAGCCAATCAGCGACAAGCAATTTCGGATTGACCAATGGGAGAGATTGGTGCTGGATTCGCTTGGCGAGATTCGATTGAACGGGGTCCGGAAATTCATACCGAATCTCAATATAGTATACCATAACTATTTGAAGGGGCAATTCGGTAGTGTTATTGTAGCGCCATGACGTGGTTGGCCTGGCTGTGTGGTTGAACATTACCGCCCATACGGTAATGTTCAACCATACAGCTAGCTAGCTAGCTATTCATAGGAGGATGACGGATGTAGCTACCTAGGTACCATACGCTAGCAGGTCGTGCGCAGAGTAGTTCAACCCACTACTAGTATTTGGTACAGTTCACAACAACACCACAAGATCCGGTGGAAGGTGCTGACCGAGCAGATCGTCGCCGCATGCCCCACCATCCCCCAGCATTCTGACGACTAACGTTCGACGTATGCGCAGTCTGCTTGCTGTAGGCGTAACGATTCCGATACAGGTACATACACAACTCGCTATAGTTGCAAAGCGCTACCACTGTAGTACTATAATAGCAAGTACCACGTATACGTATACTAGTACGTATTAATAGTATACTAGTACAGTACCATACACTATTTGAAGAGGTGACTTGTATGTCCCAGAAGCTCCATGACGTGGCTGGCCTGGCTGTGTGGTTGAACATTACCGCCCATAACCCTAATCTCCTCGAAACACGACCAATCCGTCCGAGTTGTGCAAAGACACGGTCGAAACGTTCTCCGCACGTACAGAGCCACGACGAAGGCGAACCTTCAGACAACGTTCTAGGCCGACAGCTTGCCAGGTTGGAGCAGTGAATTCACTGGCACTCGCACCCGACAGTGCTGCCTTTTGACGCTGGCTCTAGCGCTGTCCGATCAGGCTGTTCGTGTCCCACCTCGCAGCCATCTATCTATCCACCCAGTTCATGACGGTTCGATTGTCACGGTCGATTATTGTTCGCTCCATAAACCACTCGGTAATGTTTTTGTCCCCAGTGCCCCACGGACGCAGCGAAACTGCACACCACTACCAGAGCTACTGTTACAGTAGTAGTAGTAGGCTCGCCTCCAAGTGGCAATTCCACGTTGGGTCCCACACAACCCAATCTCACTTCCGAGCCCCACATATATCGATATATCTACCCATATGTGTCCTGCCGCCGCCACCTCCATCATTATCGCGTCGACGTCAGCTGTCCCCCCGACTCCCCCGCCGACGCTCACATGCGCACACCCACAAACTCGGAGTAAAACGCTGGCATCGCTGAACCCCGCGGCGACGAAAGACGAGTCGGCCGATCATCATCGTATCACAAAGAACAGGGCGTTGGTCGCTCGATGCAAACATCCCGTGACCGTTCCTTGCATGAAGCACACCCTCGCGTGGCTCCACTCGCACGACTTGTCCCACCACACCATTCCCAGCAGCTTTCTCCAGTCGCTGCTCCATTGGTTCCACGACCGCCCGGGCAATACCACGCCGCCACTGTCGCTAGGCTGGGGCTCGGGCAACCTCACCTTCTCCTGGTCTGACCGGAGCTTCGGCGTGCTGAACGCGCCTCTCTACGCCGACATTGCCGTCGCCCGGCGCATCCTGACGGCAGCGTCAGAAGAAGGAGGCTTCATCTCAGCCACCCGATCTCAACGAATTGAGTTTTCGTCGTGGTTTGCCGAATTCTTGGACGCCGTGCGCTCATGCGACGAGTTGAAGCACCAATTGTTGGTTGAAAAGGCTCGGCTGAGTAGCAAAGTCACGCAGGTCACGACCTCGTACGATCGCGTGCGACTTATTTACGAAGGGGCGCAAAAACATGACGTGGCAGCGTACGGTGCGAGCTTGTTGCAATGCCTCGACGAAGTGGACGCCGTCTTGCGCGACGAAGAGCGCGCAGTCGACGCCGTCAACTTGACCGCGTCCACCGAAACGCTCGAAAATGCTGCGTTCAGCTTGCTGTTTGGTCGGCTGAATAAACGAACCAACGACAGCCACGTGTACGTGGCCAAACTCATGGCGTGGATGCGGCAGACGCTCAGTCGCGACGACTTTGACGCGTTCTTTCAGCTGCTCCAGCCCCGCGTCAAGGAGAGTTTGGCCAAGAACTGGAAGACCTACGCGCGACACATGCAACGGCTCGAGCCGTTTCAAGGAAGCGCCGACGGCGGGACTTCGGGCGGCAAAGGGTTCACCAGGTCCCGCGCGGTGAGCTCCGACCAGTCCCACAACCAACAACACCAACACCCGTGACAAGTGTCATGTCGAACTCGCTTAACGTTAAAGTAACATTGACAGCATTTCCACTAAACTTGAGTGGAAATCCAAGTAAATGAACATCTACTTCGAAGTATTCAAGAAGCGCATCATACCATGCGTTTGGGCAAAACGAATCTTTCGTTTTCAAATACTGGTCGGATTTAGCTCGTTCTTTTCTAATCGCTTCGTCTTGAATTAACTGTAAAGATGATGAATCCCCAGTTTTGAAGGCTAAATATGAATGGTGATAAACTATGTGCCTTCGCGACATGGGGAATCCAAGCATTTGCTTGGGTCGAATTGGCATGTATTGAAAATAAAATAGCTCGAAATTTTAAAAACTTGCAAAGGGAAAATCCACTACGGTAGTACTTGACTTTCAGTACTCCCGCTCGTATTATTATAAATTTTGGTCTGAGTGCAGAACTATTTTTTATTTAAATATCGCTGTTCTGAGTATATTAATTTGCTCAGAATGTATGGCAGGAGCGAAATTTGAAACAACGATATCTAATTTAATATCCCGTTATATTGATTATAAAACCCCTCACCCGATGAACTGATTTCTCCTATATTCGTATATACCTTCAGATCTAAAAAGTGATACATGGGGGAAAAGTTATGGAAGAATTAACCAATACATTCGTTTTGCCCAAACGCACGGTACTGTAAATTGGCCTCCAAAATTCGCATGGTTTGTCCAATCAATATTGAATCACGCTGAATCAATATTGAATCACGCTGAAGTTCTAAATATATTTGTCCTTTCTATAAGAGCCAATCAAATCCACTCAAAGTTAGGTTATCCAATACCCAATCCACTCGCGATATTTGATTGGTTAATCTGAAATTGTTTGTCTCTGATTGGTTAACATATTCTTACTGTTTTCCATGTCCTTAACAACTACAGTCCGAAACAAAATTATAGACGCACCCCAAAATTCTCGAGTTTACAATGAAAACAATGGTTTGGTCAGCAACGATCAATCACAAGGACATTCAAACAGTGCTTCCAGGCATCCCATAGAATAACTTCCGTCATGTATAAGTAAGTCCACAGAAAAATCCAATTTTCAAATTTTGGGGTGAAACAAAATTATAGACGCACTTTTTGATTCGACTAAAAGTAAAGAACTATTTAACCAATCAGTGCTTTTTAAAGTAAACCAAATGCTTACAAGCATTTGCATGTCACATACATGACTTCTCGACACCCAAACCACCATTTCAGTATGCCACGCGGCAAAAGCATCACCGAAGACGAAAAGGGCCAAATAAAGGCGTATTTGACCCTCAAGAAGTCGTTACGTTGGATCGCCAATGCTCTGGGACGTAGCGACAAACTCGTACGCACCTACGTTGCCCATCTGCAACAGCCGAGGACGACCAAGCGAGCTGGAAGACGCGTCAAACTGACACGACGAGAGATCCGACGGGTTTTCAGGCTTGCGACACGAAAGGGAATGTCGTCTAGGCAGATTGCTGCGGCACTAGACGGTAAAGTAACCCAAATGACAGTTATTCGTGTGCTTCGTATGTCAAAATTTGCGAAATACATCAAACGCCGGTCGGGTCCACGACTTAGCCCCAAGCACAAGAAAGACCGTGTCGACTTTGCTGCAAAATACCTCAACAAATACAACGAATTGAAGGCAACCATGTTCAGTGACGAGAAGAAGTTTAACCTCGACGGACCGGATGGCTGTCAGTATTACTGGCACGATTTACGCGATGACGTCCAGGCGTACTCCAAGCGTGTTTCCGGTGGTGGCACGGTAATGCTTTGGGGAGCCATGAGCTACCACAACAAGAGCCAACTAGCATTCTTAGACGGACCCCAAAACTCAACGAAGTACCAAGAGACGCTTCAGGCCTACCTTTTGCCCGCTATGCAGAATTTGCGAGCGCTCACTCCATCGGGGGACGTCTTTTTCCAACAAGATAATGCGAGCATCCATCGTTCGCGATCAACTATGGCCTGGTTGGACGAAATGCCGTGGCCGACAATGCCTTGGCCTGCAAAAAGCCCCGATTTGAACCCCATTGAGAATGTTTGGGGGGTTCTTGCTCGAAAGGTTTACGCGAACGGCCGTCAGTTCGACAACAAGGCACAGTTGAAAGCCCAAATCATGACATCATGGGAGGAAATCGATCAAAACTACCTAGCACATTTGGTTGATGGTATGCCAACAAGAATGGCACTAGTAGTACTGTAATGCCCTCTATTTGTAATTCACTGTCAATTTCTAAATGGACTGGGATGCCAATCGAATCGTCGAAGCGAAATCGACGCAGTAATGGACAAACAGAAGTAACCAATGAAATTTTGGAAAAAAGACCTTTTGACCAATCAAATTGCAGGTGGGTGTGTTCAGTGCATTGCCAAGTTTCCCCATTTCACAAAGAGTTCAACATTGCATCGGACAAACAGTAAGTATATCATGTATTAAAAGTATTTAGTTAAGTAAAATGACGTCGCGACAATTTCAGGTGGATTTGACGTCGTTCGTTGAATCTACCGAAAATACCAAATTTACATGTTAGGGCTGGTCTGGATGCCACCCAATAAAATTGTGCCATAAACCGTTTTGGCAAGTCTGCAAAATTTTCCCAAAGTCTCATATCTCATGAAAAAAGGAGAAATGAAGTATCTAATGTGGATTCGATACAAATTTCCAGACCCCGTCGAATCGAATCTCGCCGCCAAATGGAATAACGAATCGACGCTATTGGCTAATCCATTTTTGAGTGGATTTGATTGGCTCTTTCAGGAAGGACAAGTATATTCAACCAATTAAAAACTCTGGCGTGATTCACTATTGATCCGACAAACCAGGCGAATTTTGGAAGTTTATAGCGAATTCACAATACTACATTACTGTTAGTACAAGTAAGTCTGGATGCCTGTTGAATTATTGAAAAAAATTTCGATTTCCGATTGAAGTGCAACACTAAACGTGAACTCAAACCTCCATATAAAAGTTGGACCAAATCGGTGTATTTTTTTATGCCATAAAACACCCAATTCTCAAGGAAATTGTGGCATACAACTTTGGTAACATCCAGACGCACAAAATCTCGAAAAATGGAAGATTTCGATTTTGCCAACTTTTTTTGGAAAATCGGCCATTTTAAGCCATTTTCTGTGGCATCCATACCCGCCCTTAGCTTGAAAGCACTCGCCAAATCTATCATGTAAGTAAAAAGGTGTCTGTGGTGATCACACTAGTTGAAGTATCACACTAATGACGTTGATGACGGTTTCCTGCAATCGGATTGGCTAAATCCTTTTGCGGATTCTTCTGTACTACCGGTAGTACATTTGGTTACGTAGTACCAGTACGTACGTATTCTCCATGTCGCTCCAGTTTAGAATAAACACAATATAATTTGTTAGCCAATCAAATGTCGCGGTGAGGTTGTAGCGAACAGTGCAGAATTACGCAGAATTACTCCGGAGTACCTGGTACTATTACATGTAATATTGTGCTTTTCACTTATTCTGGCTAATCTGAGCCTAAACTCCCACTATTAGCGACCATGGATGCAACTTTTAGGATCCAGGCAACTTCATTTTAGTAAAGTGAAGTACCCTAATTGTTGCAAGTTTTATGATGGGACGATTTGATTGGATGGATTAGCAAAAAATGGCTGGCTTGAAGGCCACAATTAGCTAATATGAAGCGTTTGCCCATTTCATTTTGGCAAACACGGGTCTTTACGAGTATGATAAGCCTAGACATGAGATGGCGATGCGTCATTCTAGTGCAAGTCTACTCTATTGATGATGATGTTGTGAGTGCGTTATTGGGCATCTCACGCAGGTCAGTCACGCGTTTTGTCGCACAGTTCACCGCCACGGGCACGGTCGATTCCACGCGCAGCACAGCGAAGAAGACCCGGTGGCCAAACGCGGTCAATGCATGGATCTTGCAGTACACGATAGACCACCCATGCTTCTACATTGAGGAGCTTCAAGAAGCGCTCCGGGCTGGGTTCCCTTCCCTGTTGAACATTTCCCAAGCAACGATTTGCCGTGCATTAATGCACGATTTGGGTCTGACAAGAAAAGGTGATAATATTCGAATAAAATTCCAATTGAATCGCTCTAAAACATGTTCATTGCTGCGTAAAATAGTTCTGGAAAAAAGAGCACGGGAAGCTGCTGATTTCGAGCTCCAAGACTATTACAGAAAGCTTCAGCCCTATTATTCCTCGCCAGATCAGCTCGTCTTTGTGGACGAGACGTCAAAAGATGGGCGAGACTCCATCAGGAAGTACGCGTGGTCGAAGAGGAACACACGTGCAATTGTGGAGCTACCATTTTCACGTGGACAACGTGTGTCAGCACTGGCAGCCTTTTCTACAAGTGGATTTTTGTCGTGGGGTTATGTAGACGGTAAAATTCCTTTTTCATGTTTTCATTTTGTAAAAATTATAATCGCAATTAATGAATTCGTTGTGAACATACAAATAGGCACCTTCGACCGCGAGATCTTCCACAGCACTATGCTGGAGCGTGTTCTGCCGTATTTGAATCCTTGGCCACTTCCAAGGTCAATTCTTATACTGGACAATGCGAAAATACACATGTACAAGGAGCTTGAAGACGCTGTCCATTCAACTGGGGCCCTTCTCTTTTTTTTGCCCCCGTACTCCCCACAATTAAATCCGATTGAAGTCGGCTTCAGCCTACTTAAGCGATGGGTCAACAAATACCCAATGGCCTTTCGTTTTAATATTCGATCGACTCTTGACGTTGCGTTTGTCGAATGCACGAAGCAGGATGTGAGCACTGGGTACAACTTGTATCGCCACTGCGGGTACAATGTAGATGAATTAGATAAAGAAACATTTCTAATGATATGAGCAATCTGCCAGGCATTGTTTAGTTTGATTTTCAGATGCAAATGTATAAATATTTCAGCTGATCGAATTTGAAAACGATATTACTTCGAAAAAATTGCAACTGTATATTTACGAGTCGATATGATCGACGTCTTCAATGTTGACACGTGGAGCATTTGTTGGTTGCAGTGGGACACGGAATGGAGGAACCAAAGGATACGATGGTAGACCCAAAATTTCACGAAGATCTTCAACCGAAATGAAACAGTCGATGGGGGGGCTTGTCAAAGCTCCAAGTCGCATGCGAACGCAACGATATGGCTGTTCATCCATTTGAACATGATGGGCGCGCTCTATCGTATGAATTAAATATATCGATACCAATATCGGATTTAAACCTTCTGCATGGCGCTGCGCCATTAAATCCATGTGGCCAAGTTGTTGCATGGTCGTGTTGGTTGGTACTTCAACCGGCGAAGTTGCCGGCAAGCGCGCTGTTGAGATGTTTACATACTCGGTTTGTAGTGGTCCAAGCTGAAGGTCATGTTGGCGAACATGATCAGCAACCCTTGTAGCGGAGAGTGCAATATTCTGCTGTGTCGCACGACGTATCCCGACTTCTTCATGTTTTTCTAAAATTCAAATATTTCCAAGTTGTGAATATTGGTTTGAATTCATGATGGGAAAAATAGAAGAAATTGATATTTATTGCGTCAATCGTACCAAGGTACACAAACAACTGCAGGGTAAACGAGCCCTGGCCAGTGCGCGTCCTGCCGGCGTTGTCCCACACTTTGCGGATCATGTCGTAGTAGTTTTCTCCCGTCAACGCAACATATTTGCTCTGTGGGGCATTCAAAGCAACCTTAACGTAAGTCTCCCATGGTGTTGGATCACCCCAAAGCAGACGGTCGTTGCTGGCGGTAGCGTGGTGGGCGGCAACCAAGCCGCCAGCAATGTCGAACACCTTTGCTGTCGTGACGGTGAACGTGTCAGTCGTGCTCATTGTGAGCACGACTGGGTCACCAACTGTAGTTCTGCTCTTACCAAGAGGTCGACCGACCTTCACAGACACACAGCATTGTATGTTGTCAGGTAGTGGCACCCGTGCGGTGGCACCCGTGCGGTGTCGTTGCCTGTCGGTGCCATCACGGTTGGCTTGCGATGGTTGCAATTGTTGCAGTGTAAAACTACCACGTTTTATATCAGCCAATGACAGAACACTGGGATAGCTTCGTTTTAGATGGTGGTGCAATTCGATTTAGGTTAAAACGTCGGACGTTTTAGAAGCTAAAAACACGGGCAAAAAATGTGAAAAGCACAATACCACTATCTAAGGATGTGGTACAGTATTTAATTTAATACGTACTATGGTCCACGTCATCTACCGGTATAATCTACCAACTTTTCACAAAATTTTCTGACTTCTATTTCATATTCATTACTCAAAATTTCAGCAAATTGAGACGTAGAATCGACAGATCTCAATGTGGTGAAGAAATTCTACGTCTAAGATTCAAATTTGGTGATGAATTGGTCCAGAAATAGATATTTAACCTAGCGGTATTTTACATGATCGCTTGGATCTTTGGCCATAGGTGGGTATCTTGCTTTTTGTACGTGACTCTTATCCGTATGTAATATCCGGAGGCAGTTGGGACCTTTAACCTCCCATTGCAGCGATAAAACGTATTTGGGTAACTACATTAATTGTACGTTAAATAATAAAACCTGCACTCTTCGATTTGGCCAGTTGGAAGTTTTTAGATGACGTGCACCATACCCTTATACCGGGTACTGTACTTTGAAGTACTGGTGTTAACCCACTATTAATAGGATAGTACCATGTAGTACTGTTCTAGTACAGTAGTGGTTAATTTTCCAATAAAACTGAGGATTTTAGGGCCTTCTGTACACCACGAAGCCTTGACATACAACCTTCACACCCTTACACTGCTTACACTACTGTACTAGAAGCTACACAGCAGCACTATCAAGCGGCCGTGTGATTAACTTACTGTAAAGGGCCTTCGCAATAAGTAAGAACGCTACAGTGTCAACCACATCCTACTCCCTTGTATACCGCAAGTTGAAGTTAGGGATCCGGATACTATCTGGTAAAAGTAGTACTCCGATGTGACGTTGTATAGTTTAAACGTGATGTGAAAGGTATTTAACGCAATTTTAACACTCCACATCCGGATAAATTGTGACTGCAGATTTATGTCACAGCATCTTTTTTGTCGAAATAATTCAACGGATTTTCTACTGCAATCCAAGGCACAATTCGAAATCAACCCCATAAGACACCGCATCATGCTGAGTTCCAACGACCTCCATGACCCGAACACCTGCCCTGCATGCGGGGATTGGCTGAAGAGCCACAAGGACGTGTCCGCGGACCAAATGGACCCCGCTGCCGTCCACGCCGAGCTCGAAAAGCTTCGCTCGATCAACCACCAAGTCGAGGCGCACGACAAATCCGCCAAGCAAAAGAGCGCTTCCGGCGTCGCCAACACAATCGCGTGGCTGCAGCAGCATCAGGAAGAAAAGAAGAAGTCGAGTGGGTTCATCCATTCGTTGCTCCATTGGTTTCGTCACGACGACGACGACGACAAGTCGACATCACACACCCCGCTCCTTCCATTGGAATGGGCGCAAAGCCGTATTGACGTAGACTGGACCGAGCGAAGCTACGCCGTCTTGAACGCCCCGTTCTATGCGGACATGAGTAATGCTCGACGCATCCTCCTCGAAGGAAAGCTGCGAACGACCGCGACGGACGCGGTGACGGCCGAATTCAAGACGTGGGTCGCCGAGTTCATGGGTCAATTAGGGCAATGCCGACACCTGAAGGACGAGCTACTGGAGGAGAAGGCGCACGTGGCGAACAACGTCATTCGCGTGCGAACGATATACGACCAAGTGCAGAGTTTGTACGAAGAGACGCTGCTGTTGGACGCCAAGTCCCCCGAATATGAAGCCGCGCTGGTGGCGCTGTTCGACGAAGTGGATGCGACGCTAGCAGACGAGGCCGCGGCGGTGAGCGAGGCAAATCCGCTAGTGATGACCCCCGACTCGGAGAACGAAGCGTTCAGCAACCTCTTTGCGAATGTAGAGGCGTCCGACGACAAGAACGGTATGGTCGTGGCCAAGTTGGTGGCGTGGATGAAGAACAACCTCCCGCGCACCGACTTCGACGCGTTCATGGCGCTCTTTGACAACCAGGTCAAGCACCAGCTAGGTGGGCAGTGGATGCAGACCTATGCCGAACACCTGCAACGGTTGGAACCGTTTGCCATCGAGTTTCACAGCGCGTTTGTGTACTCCCGCAGTCGCGTCGACGTCGTCGCGCCCGTGCATGACCCAACCCAACCCTAAAATCAATTCTGGGCTTACTAGTAGTAGTACTATGTAATAATATATTCTGTGTTCACTTCGAAATGGCTATACGAGAACATCAGCTTGCATAGCTCGAGGGACACTGGGAGTATGAGGTTTCCGGCTACGACGTGTAGTGGGTGCTCGCGTTCAAGCCAGCTTGTGAACCGCGTTATGATAGAGTCGTATTGGGACCTGGTGTCCTCTACTACTCGTAGAGCGATGACATCGGTCAGCTGTAACACTCGTGGTATGTGCACGGCGACCCATTGTTTTTTATGGGAATCCTTCTATTTGCTGTACTACTAGTAGCTTGATTTCGTGTTTGTTTCGTGAATCAGCTTATATCTTCGATACAAAGAAAATCATACAAACTTCAAGATTGCCTCCATTGGATACACATGTATAACTGGATAGAACTGGTTTACGAAACAAAAAAATTCCGTGACTCCATACATTTAGTTTCGTGTTTGTTTCGTAATCGTGTATAATACGTTGTACTAGGACACTACTGTAGTAGTACTACTCTCATATTGATTGTCAGGTAGATTTAACCGCTATTAATAGTAGCCGTACTATTATTAAAAGTACTAACGTTATTAATATTAATACTACGTACTATTAATACGTAGTATTTAGTAGTAGTACTATAAGTAAGAAGATCTTGTGGCATTTGAAATGCTGAGCTTAGTATGTACTAATAGTAGTACTAAAACCAGATTAACATTTCATAGAGTTTCGCTGCTTCTGATGACGACGACCTAAGATTCAACCGTCGTCAATTATGATATAAACGTTTTAATAAATTATATACAAGCATTGAGGATGCAGGAGAAATATAATATTAAAATAAAATGATACAAGACGTGATATCATGGAACCTCTGGTCGTGGTCGTTAAACCCATTTATTTGCCCAAGTTCAAGGACACTTCATCATCGTTTGAATCGTTGGGAGAAGATGGTAATGAAGAAGGTGAAGGACGTGCTCATCGTGGGCGGCGGGGTCATGGGCTCTTCTGCCGCCTACCACTTGGCGAAGAAGGCGCCGCATCTCAAGATCACTGTGCTCGAGCGCTCTTTTGCGGTAAGTGTATCTGACTCGTGTCCGTGACGACAAACGATGCTGTAGTACAAGCGCGCGTCGGCGGTGCTGTCTGCGGGAGGCATCCGCATGCAATTCTCTGAGCGACCCAACATCGAAATGAGTCAATACGGCATCCACTTCCTCAAAAACGCGGGCGAATTGCTCCACGTGCCCGGCCACGACGCCGTCGACGTCCAGTTCACGGAAGGCGGGTACCTCTTCTTGGCGAGCGGTCGCGGCGCCACCGTCCTCGACCAAAACCACGCCACGCAGCGGTACTAGTAGTACTAGTCGCACACATCTTTCCTTCCTATATGCATTCGATCAACTACGTTAGATCCGTGAATGCCAAGGTAGCGCTCATGACGCCAGCGGAACTCACCGGTCGCTTTCCATGGCTCGACACTACAGGCATTGCGCGCGGATCGCTGGGGCTGCAGGATGAGGGCTGGTTCGATCCGTGGTCGTACCTGACAGGGCTAAAGCGGGCCAACTTGCACTTGGGCGTCGAGTACGTAGAAGGCACGGTGGTGGCGCCCATGGCCAAAACGAAAGGGCACGATCACGTCATCATCGATCACGTCACGGTTGCCACGTCCCAAGGACAACTTGTCCAGTTTGCACCTGGCCACGTGGTCAACGCCGCGGGTGCGTGGGCCCATGACGTGGCCGTCCTCGCGGGCGTCTCGGACCTTCCCGTGCGAGCCAGGTGGTGTCGATGAATGTTTCCCGATTGTATAGAACTGACCTGTTTGGCTGCTTTGTTCTCGTAGAAAGCGCACTGTATTTGTATTTCATTGCCCTGAAGCAGCCACATGGACAGGGACGATGGCGTCGCCGCTTGTGATCGATCCCAGTGGCGTGTACTTTCGTCGAGAAGGCGCGGCGGGGCAGTTCATCTGCGGGGTATCCCCAGCTGCAGCCGACGACCACGACTGCGACGGGGAGGACCTGTTGCAGCCCGATCACGCGCTGTTTGACGACGTGATTTGGCCTACACTGGCGGCGCGCGTGCCAGCGTTCAACGAGCTTAAACTCGTGAATGCCTGGGCTGGGTTCTATGACTTTAACACGTTTGACCACGTACGTTAATGAGATGGAAAAAATCAGAGCAACTTGCATTGGGATGGCAGCGCAACTAGCTGGCCCCTGTGTTTTGAGAGATTTACATATGCCTTGGATGTAGAATGCGATTGTGGGGCGACACCCAGACGTGCCCAACTTGCTCTGCATCAATGGCTTCAGTGGCCACGGCCTCCAGCAGAGCCCCGCAGCCGGCCGGGCGATCGCCGAGCTGATCGTCGACGGCGGCTTTACATCGTTGGACTTGACATGCTTTGAATTTGACCGCATTCGAAACAACAAGCCGTACTTTGAGCAAAATATCGTGTAATACAACCACGACTTTATTACCTTCAGCCTCTTTCCAAGATGATCCAGTAACTATAGTTGAGTAGTTAATCTTGACGGGGCACAACTGCCTAGAATACCTGAGGTTGGTGGAAATATAATGAAACAAAAATCAAAGTATACGCCAAATGGGGATAGTTGAATGACGAAGGGGGAACTTGCAAATATACTTTTCGCCTCAGGTAACGACGTGTATATTTTATTGATTTTTTTTATCTACATATAATAATTTAATAATAATAAAATGATACAAAAATAATAAATGGACACATACGAACGAGCTGAAGAAATTAAGCTACAGTGTATACAGTCTCGTTCCCGAGATGATGTTAAGGGCATGCACCCTATCTGTAATATTTCAATACAAGACACATATTCATTACAATGACTACGTTCTCTTACACAATACTATTAATAGTATATAATGTAAAAAGTATATATATATATTCTATATTTGTGTTTTTGATTTGAATAAAAAAACAAATATGCATGGTAATAATGAACTACAATCTTTCTATTTATCAGTTGATGGAAAATTCGATTTCTAACTTTAATATTTATATTTTCTATTTATATACTATTAGTATTTGGATAAATAAAAAATAATATTAAAAACGTGTGAACGAGCATGGATACGTACGCTGTCTGTCGCACACTTCCAGGACGGGGGCGATGAATGCACTCGAGTGATTCCAACAACTCATCCGTCCCCATTTCCTTGCCTAGAAATTTCTATTGATACTATTAATATATGTAGTAAATGACGAAGGAAGAGAACAATACACACCCATCCAGGTATTTTCATCCCTCAACAGACCCCTCGAAAACAACAATATTATCGACATAAATTATATATTTATATATATATCCTTGGCCACGACCACCGACATTTCCAGCAGTGTACTGTATACCCGTGAAGATGCAACGCCCCATTATGTCGTGTCCACGTGGCACCGAAAAGTCCCATCTAGAATTGTGTTTTATACTCAAACACAACTTTTCTAACGCTGATTTGAAGTATGATATATTGTCTTTCTTTTACCCCAAATTTGGACTGTTGTGCTGATTCGCCAAATCTATTGATCGATTCTTTGTGTTTTGACTTTTTGTACGTAAAAATCGTCAAAAGTATCCCATTAATTGAAGTCACACACTAATTCGATGTTGCATTGGTCGAAGATTGGATTTGATTGGCCACTTGATTCGTGATCTTGGTTTTGATTGGTCGATCGATTGTTTGCCGATTTGGTGCTGCTCATACCCCAATCGACTTGACAATACCATATAGTCTTCAATATCCCATCATCGTGTATTAGCAACTAACTACCTCGGTTAGTCCTCGACTTATGATTGTTTACTACTGTACTTGGTCGACAGGGCCAAAGCCAGCGACGCGATGTCGTCGGAGGCACTTGGTGGAGCAGTAGACAAACTCAAACTTAGTAAAGTACTCGCCCACGACGGGTTCAAACTCGAGGCGGCAGATGGAGCAAGGGATAAAGTCCTTTGGAATGACAGAGGGGGGGGGCTTCACGTAGCCCTGTAGCAGCAGGAGGGGGTTGTGATGGGTGATCGTATGCCACAGCTGCTGGTGCTGCGCGGCCGTCCCCCGTCGTCCATGAAACAGTTTGGTTTGAAAGCTGCTGGAGAGGGCGTGGAGCATGCCGCCGCCGCCATTCCGATGGTACTGGATGGTTTGGGTCACGGTGCTACTGATCAAGACGTGATTGAAATGAATGGTCAGGAGCACTTGTACGCATTGAGCAATCTCAAAATCCCGGGGAACGCATACAGCATTGGACGATGACGCCAAGAAGGGCAGGTGGTCGCTCACGGCGGACAACCCCACCAAGTCGAAGCTCAACCACACGTTTGTGGTCGTGGCCACATGCTCCAGGGCCGCAGGATGGCGCCACCACAGATCGCAATGACACAGCACGACGCGACGGAGGTTGCCCGCCATATGAATCATATTGGTGCAAGAACGCCAGTGCTATACATGTGCGTTGATAGATGATGGAGTAGGCGTACAGTATATACATATATATATATATATATATATATATATATATATATATATATTGATGTGTTTATTCTAAACTGTACATACAAATCGACAGAAGAATGGATACCATTATCCACATCGAATTAGTGTGTGACTTCAAATAGTGTGATGATACTAAGCACCTTTTTACATACCAACAGATATATCAGTCCTACATGTAGAAAGAATCGATATATCGATAGATTTGGCGAAAATCATATATAAAAGGGCAATAGGACGCACTGTCGGTGGGGTATGATGCCGACGGATCCGAGTCGAAAGAAAAGTACACGGGGGCATTCGTCACTTGTTGGGCCTAGAAAGGGCGCCGCGTTGAGCGATCTGAAGACGAAGAAGGACGAGGATGTGTGTGCGCTTGTTTGTTGTATGTACCTGGGCAATGGCTCGGAGTATCGTGGGGTTGGCGGGCGAGAGGGATGTCCGTTGGTAGATGACGCTGGCTTGAATCGTAGTGTTGTCCATGCCGTACTGCAGATCCAACACAAGTTGATGCGCCAACGCCGACACGTCGGTTGAAGTCGTTGTGTCGTTGAGGGAGGTGGAGGCAAGGATGTGCAGGTCCAATTGCTCCGCCATGCGCTTGAGACGCACCACGTCACGTTCATCTCGTCCATGGATGTCCACCACACAGTTGGACTGGACAAGGGACAACCGCTCGAGTTCCCTGTACGCGCGGGTTTCGTTGGAGAGCACGAGGTTGCCCTTCTCGGCCGGGTGTTCACGAAGCTCCATGAGGTCTTCCGCCGCGATGTCCATGTCGACAACCGTCGTCTCTTTCTGCAGGACTCTCTGGTGAACGAGGATCCCCCCAGGCTTGATGGCGCTCGCAGCCACCGCCCCTCGCACGGTCATGATCATGTCGCTTGACATGGCAACTTCTAACGGACCAATCAGGTTGTTTCATGGTATGCATATTGTTCATTTCACACAAATTTTGAGTCATTTCGCCAAATAGTATTCAATCCAATTTAAGCTTGTACAAACTATAGTATACAAAGATTATTATATTTATGGTTTTGCCCAATACGGAGGGACTGGGGCCGAGTCAAACGTTTGGATTGGCAGAAATTCACCAGAACGTGATTTGATTGGCTTAGGCGGTTCTTTAATCCATTAATCTGCTGAGGGCTCCAGTTTCGAATCGATTTGACAATACTACTATTATTAATACTACGTAGTAATATTTATCCTATGACGCGTACCAGTACAGCTACTCTTAATAGTAAGTATTAATACATACGTACACTACTATTACTATTAATACACCATTTTTCATTTAAGTTCACAGTCAGGTTATTTCCGGTATATTTCGTCAAAGGCTCAACTGATTCCCGCTATGTGTCGCCAAGCATTCGATATATTTCGCCACACCCTATATCGTTGACCCTATATCGTTTTTAGATGCAAATCAAGTAAATAAACGCGCTGGTTCATCATGCGCTAACTTCCATGGCATCCAAGTTTTCGGCTAGACTGTAAAACAACTCGAGCAACAACGTGTAGGATTGTAGAGGATTCACATCAACTTATATCTATGGTTTAGACAAGTTCAAAACGCTATCCACCACCTACGATTTACTTGATTTGCATCTAAAATCGAAATAGATGGAATATCATTTGAAATATATTGAACAACGTGTGAAATATACCGGTAATGGGGTGACATATTGACATATACCGGATATTATTCGAAATATACTGTAACGATATAGGGTCAGGACGAAATATATCGAATGACTGGCGAACATAACTCACATGGCGTGAATCAGTTGTGCATACCAGAAATAACCTGAACTTAAACGAAAAATGGTTACGAATTGATTGGAAAATATGCGGGAAATCCTGCGTTTTGATTGGCTGTGTCCTATTTTTTGAAATCAAGTCTTTGATCAACCAGTTAATTCGGACAACTTGCTAGTACAACGTAGTAAGTTATTAATACTACTACACTACAGTACTAGTATTCTGATGGGTACGCATCCACATCGTACAGTACTACTAGTACGTCCTACTACCGGCGAACAGGACGACTGAATCAGCCGAGTACGACCTTGGCGACCTTCTGCAGCACCTGGCGGCAGACGTCGGTTGTCGTGAGTGGGGAGCACATGATGTAAATGACGTTGCCGAGGGCGCGGGCGTAGATGCCGTCCGTGCGCAGGTGTCTAATGAAGTCTTGGGCGCCTGTGGCCTCGTACCCCTTGCCTTCCGACGCCAGCTCAAACACTACGACAGTTCCCAGCTGGAACGCCCGGACCACGCGGGTGCTTTGGCCGACAGCCGCGACGGTCGCCGGGTCCCAGTACACCCGGGGGGTCGCATCGTCTTGACCAAGGGAATCGTACATGTCGAGCGCCGTCAGCGCCGCCGCGCAGCCCACGGGGTTGGCGGTGAAAGAGTGTCCTTCAAAACAATATATTATTATTACCACTCACGAGTCGTCCATGATCATATATATATATAGAAGTCGTCTCGGGCAAGACCAGTGTGTTTGATAAACGAGAAAAACATACTATGTCGATATATCGTCGCAGGCGAATATATACTTTAGAAATAGGATACAAGCACACCTATATATACATACATATATATCAAATGGAAGGAGTTTGTATATATATACGAAGGTTGTTGTACCATATGGATATATATATAAACATGTACGAATACATATATATCTTTCACAACTAGGATACATACCAACACCTAGAGTACTACTATATATAAGAGACGAATATGTCAACATGTGCGACTCTATCTTCCCAAACACAGCCATATATAACCATACACCTATATACATAATATATATATATATATATATACATAATATATATATATATATATATATATATATATACCGTGCAACAACGCGTCGGCTTTAGCGTGGGAGTGAAACGCTTGAAATACGTGGTCGGCGGCGAGCGTCGCCGAGAGGGGCACGAGTCCGCCCGTGAGCAGCTTGGCGAAGCATGAGATATCCGGATGGACGTGCAGAAGGTCGCGGCCCGACGGGGCCCCGAGGCGCCACAGGCCGCTGAACACTTCGTCAAACACGACGGGAATCCCCCGACGGCGACATATCAGCACCATCGTGCGCTGGAACAATGGATCCACAAACAACATCCCGCCTAAAAATATAATAAACAATCAAAATTGATAGATAGGGTAGAAAAATATTCACAATCCTCTGTGGATAATACGACACATATGGGCGTGTATGTATATATATTATATATATATATATATATATATAAAGAAGAGAAAAATAGCAAGTTATATATATATATAAAGAAGAGACAATAAAGGAATTCTGTCGAAAACGACAACATTATACGGTCGCACAACGGATCCATATTTGTAGCATTATTGCAGATCGCCACCAAATATATATTTCAACTCATAGTACTAGTAATACTAGTAGTAGTATAGACATACTATATTTTGAATAGCATCCGTCTTTTCGTAAAGAGGAAACCTACTAGGTACGAACCATAACCAAATCCAAGCCAATAGTATTGTTGTTGTTGTTACCTGCACCGATAAGCACAGGCTCGAGCACGAGAGCGCCCACAACGGCGTGCGGTGGTACGTGATGGTCCAGTAGGTCAGTCACGTACGCTTCGTAGGCGGCGGCGGCGGCGGTGGCGTCCCTGGACGTCGGATCGAAGAGGTCATCTAGCGACTCCAAATGGAGGGCGAAGGCTGGGTCCACCTCTGGCCACGTCACAGTTACCCCTTGTTTTCCAGATACTGCCGAGAGCGACACGGTGGGGGGCGCCGCGAAGATGGCTTTGGGTTTGTACCACGGGTGCTGCGACAGGTTGAACACGCTCGGCTCAGCCACGTGCATCGTGCCCAAAGTGTCTCCGTGGTAGCAGTTGGTCTGGGCCAGCACCACCAACTGCTTGTTGCTGTCTGTGGTAGAATTGTACGAAGAAGAAGTGATAAACGTTCGGAATGCCTATATCATAGCATAGGGTCGTCGATCAGAATTTCAAAAATAAGTAGACTGGCCAAAATTGTGTCAGTAGGAAATGAAGGGCGTGGGTTGATAGAACCACGTGAATCATTCACATCTTCATTTACTCAAGTATATATACAGACAACGAGGGAATTTAAGGCTCATCGAAGTTCTGTGTGTAGCGCAAATTTCACGATATGACTGGATAGCGTAGTTCGAAATTCGAAACATATTATAAAAATTCACCAATAGAAATTTAAGTATTTCGTGATTTGCTGCTGATTGGCTGAAAAAAGTGTGTGACACTCAAAACTTCGATGAGCCTTAAATTCCCTCGTTGTCTGTATATATATATATACTTGAGTTATGTCCATTTATACGATGTCATATATATATATATTAAATCGTATTATACATATGTCTATATATGAAATCTTATGATTGGACATAATTGTGTACACACAAACAGGTTCAGTGTGTGAAACATGACGAATGAAACCATTGATAATAGTAGGAGTATTGTCAAGTCGATTCGAAAGTGGAGAGTTCAATCGAATAACCAAATCGGCACACAATCGATCGACCAATCAAAACACAGATCAATAATCAACTAGCCAATCAAATCCATTCTTCGACCAAGTCAACATCGAATTAGTGTGTGAATTAAAATTAGTGTGAAACTAAACGAATTTTACATACAAAAGTCAGGAAAAATTATCGATCGATAGATTTGGCAAAGACTCGGCACAAAAGTTAACCAAATTTTGGATAAAAAAGGACAATACATGCTAACGAATTCATGCATCCACTAGATATTCTATTGTGAAAATGTCAAACATCATGAAACTATAAATATATACATACATCAATATATATATACATACATACATCTATAAAAAGTAAAAAAGTATAAAAAGTATATATACATCTATAAATATATATATACATCTATAAATATATATATATACATCTATACATACATATATATACCATTTTCAACGCGACTTCGACGGCGGTGGAGCCATCGTCCGAGAAAAAAACCCGCGACGCCCAGTGTCGGCCCACCGTATCGAGCAGTTTCGCGGCCACTTGGACAGCTGGTTCGTGTGCATTTTCAGGAAACATGACGTGTCCATACCTAGATCAAGTGTATGACGTGGCAGCACCAGGAGATACCATGTATCTACCTGGCGGCAGTGGTGGCTACCGCGAGGGCGGCCTTGGGGTTGCCATGCCCGAGGCCCTGCGTCCACCATGACGCGCACGCGTCGACCATGGGCTCGAGGCTCGTGGAGGCCGCATCAAATGTTGCAAATGAGTCTCCGTAGGCTGAATCAATCACGAGCACCCCACGGTTCTGCTTGTGTTGGGTGAACGGCCACCATAGAATCTACCCATATATATATATATATTTATATATATTATCACGATCCAGAATATACTGTGGCTTTATTAGAGTACAAGACAAACATGTACTACTTGTTTGTACCAAAAGGTCAAGCTACACTACACTCGTACTTGAAAATTGACTGTAAAAATATATATATATCCGTAATAGTAAAAGCCAGTATGATATTCTTCGTCATCGAAACAGGGTGTACAGAGGAATATAAAGAAAAACAACGTATGCTCGAAGTACGAATGATCGCAGTTCCAATATATATATGAAAATAATGAGATGGAAATATATATATGTACTAGTACGACAATAATGATGTGTATCAGCCGCGCATATCATACCCAAACAGTCATACTAGATCGAATCTAACATCCACACAAGGGTATCGTCCTATGGTATCGTGTTGTGCAAGTAGTAATACTAGTATACGAATCCAACACAAACACACAAGGGTATGCATTATCCTATGCAAGTAGTACAGTAGTACTACTAGTAGTAAAGCTCAATATCATATTGTGTTGACAGTCACATAGAAGACTAGCCTTACGTCTTGGGCCTGTGACGAAATCGCATGCAATCGGTCCACTCGGCGTTGATGGTACGTTGATATAGCGCTCAAGAGGCTTCTAAAGATCTCATCTTGAGCCATGTACCAGTCATGCAAAGGCGTGGGCTGCGGCGGGAGCTTTGGCAGGGCAAACACGGAGATGTTGAGTTCCGCGGCGCGGTCAGCGATGGCGGCGGCGTTGCCGAGGTCGTCTTGCTCGATGAGGACGATCCAAGGCACGTCGTAGCCCTATACATAAAAAGGAATAAAATGTCAATATATATATATATTATATATGGGAAATACTTTTTTTTCTATAAAATAAATATATATAAGTTGCGCTCCTTTTATTTGTTTATTCAGTCGAGAATAGGACGAGATACAGAATCATAACTAGCATGCTTTGCTTTCGTCGGACAAGTATCAACTCACTCGAAGGAGAAGCGAGTCCAGGGCCGACATGGTGGCGGAAATGCCGCCTAGTTTGCCATCGCCGACGAGAACGGCGGGGAGGCGGAGAGGGCGATAGACGTCGCATTGGAATTTGCCGCTCGCGGAAGGGCTAATAAAGATGGAGACATCGATGGGATCGATGGGATCGATGGGATGAATGGATGTGGGTGGTACCTGCACACACCACCGGCAGTCTCGACGACCATCAACGTGGACGCGGTGGGCTGCAACTTGTGGATGGCATCACTCAATCGATGGACAAGGATGTCGTCCGTGAGCGATTTCTGTTCGAGTTGCGCGGCCAAATGCGGCGACACGGGAGTGTCCCATGAGAACAGCGTCTCACATGTCAGGCGAGAGGCATCCATGTGCGAATGCAGGAATCGTGCATCCATCATAGAGTCTCCGCCAGTCTGAAGCGGCTTGATGTACCCCACAGACGATGTAGCAGACGACTGTACGGCCGCACGACACAGACCGGCCGACACAATTGTCTTGCCGACGTCAGTGTTGCTGCCAAACACTTGGACGATGGGCGAACGAAGCGACACGGACACGGCATTCGGCACATACTGCTTGGAGGGCGGATCGTCTCGTCGGATATTGCATCCCACATGCAGCAGGCCGGGACGTGAAGCGGCAGCGCGCGAGCTGAACGAACGTCGTCGAAGCGCCGATAGCATCATGTGCCGCTGATTTTGATAATGGCAGTATAAATACGCAAACTGGCCAATTCCCCTATTTCAAGCAAAAGAGTGCAATTGTTCTGTCAAATCCTTCAAAGGATAACAGGCATAGTAACGTTACATCAAGTGCTTCTAGTACTAACGATAAGCTTAACGTTAATATATGTTCATATATGATGGTGCTTATAAACACGGTACCCTTATTGGAAAGTCAGGGTCGTGTCGGCATGGTACCGCGCCACTTCCAAAATGAAGCGGCCTGTGGCATACAACCTTTGACGATATAAGGTAATCAACTTCAAACCCGAGCTCATCCTGTGATTGGCTGTTGTTTGGTTATCCGGTAATGATACGGATAACTCAAACTGATACACTCTGTTTTATTGGCTAAAATACGGCTTGATTTGAACCAATTGAAAGTGTATATACATCCTCGTTCAAGAGTATCTTTTTCGTGGAAGGATTGCTTGCTCTCAACAATATGGCGTTGAACATCTTGTTGGGCGTTGACAGTTTGGTTGACGAGAGAGTGGTAACCCTCTGCGCATAACATGCTTCGCCGCCACGAGATGGCACTGTTAAGCACCGTCGGGACCTTGCTCTGCTACGCGGACCGTTCGTTCGCATCCCGGACATGCCCTCGTGATCTGACAGACCTCCGTAGGCACCAACATCGGCGTGGCCCTGCCATCCTTTGAGCCGGACCATGCCAAGCAAGGCCGCATCCTGTCTGCGTTCTTCTACGGCTACATATGCACGCAGATGCTAGGTGCCCACTGGGCATTCATGCATGGCCCCAAGCGCGTGCTGCTGCTTGGTGTGTGTGTCTGGACTCTCTTCGACTTGCTCACGATTCCCATGGCCAGCACACCGGCTTTGCTGTGGCTCGTTCGTGCCGGTAGGTAAATCCACCATCCGTTCGTTAGCAACTCCTTTCCTCTCTAGGTATGGGGCTTGGCGAAGGCATCTTGTTTCCGTCGTTGCATGTGGTCGCCGCGTCCTGGTACCCCGTCAGTGAGCGCAGTCGGCTCATGTCGTTCGTGTCCAGCGGTGTCGACCTCGGCACGATCTTGTCCATGTCGGTAGCCCCGTTGCTTCTCAGCTCGTTTGGCTGGCCGAGTATTTTCTTCACGTTTGGCGGGCTCAGTGTGCTGTGGCTACTGGCGTTCGTGTGGCGTGGCAGCAGCAACCCCGAAACAGACAAGTTCATTTCATTGGCTGAAAAGGCGGCGATTTTATCGCAACGCGACGTCTTTTCAGCCAATCACAAAGCAATGTCGTCCCAACGCCACGTGTTGTCGACCCGGCGGTTGCTCTCGAGTCGCGGGGCATGGGCGATCTACAGTGCCCACTTTGCGTTTAATTACGGCTGGTACATACATTCTCTCATGTTGTCCGGATATCATGATACTGTATATATTTCTACGTCATATGCGGCAAATGATTTATCTATATATTTATATATCTTCATTTATAAAAATAAATATATCTTTGTCTACCGGTATATATATATATATACATACATACAGTATCTGTATGGATCATTATTTCTACATATATATATATACGTATTTTTATTCATGTATCCTTCTATAACTTTATATATATATATGTTTCTTTCGCTATGTGCCAAACAATACCATATCTATATATACAGAGTATTTATTCGCGCTGATTGTTGTTATTTCCACAGGTATGTGTTGTTGGGGTGGATGCCGCTATACTTTCGTGAAAAGCTGCACGTGCCCCTAGCCTACAGCGGCCTCGCGTGTCCGTACGTTGCTGGGTACGTGGGCGTGCTCTTCTGGGGCGTCGTGTCCGACAAATGCATTCAAGCCGGCCGTAAGCCTCTGGTCATCCGCAAAGCCATGAACGCCGTCGGACTCGTCGGGGCGGCGGCATGCTTTGGCCTGCTGCGGTTCACCCAGTCGACTTCGGCGGCCGTGGGCATGCTCAGTCTGGCGCTGTTTCTCGGACGGGCTGCGACCTTGGGCTATTGGGTTCACATGGTGGATGTATCCCCGGCTCACGCGGGTCATGTACGTACTAGAGTTATGGATGCATATATATATATACTTTGTGCCTTAGAGACGTGTAGAATTTGTTCTCGAGGATTGCACGTATCAGTGAGGTGGTTTTGCATAACAATTCGTGAAAGTGGAATATATATATATATATATATATATATGGGGAATTGTTGGTTTTTTCAGAACACGTAGACATTATCATGACGAATGCTCGTTTGTGAGTTTGTTCACTTTTGGACTGTAGAATGGTTGTTGGCAGTATAAATGGACAATACCAATATATCGTGCACGTCGAAAAGGCCAGTGTTGTGTGTGACCATTCGTACTTCCATTAGTGCAGTCGCGTTATAAAGTGCATAGCAATTTTTACAGTGTTGCCTGGTCTGAATGCCACAGTATTTTTTTACGACAAATAATATTCGGAATGCGAACTATTACTGGAATAACATCATAGTTAATAATTGGATTTTTTTCTGTCAGAAAAAGAGCTAATTCGCCGAATTATGTCAATCTATATACGTCAGATTTGGTAGCGAAACACACTCGGCATAATATTTCTCTGACGTTTTTTATGAAGAATGACCTTAGTATATATTTTTCTCCATATATATTTCGACTGGCCAGTGGATTAAATGCTGGTATTACTCTGTTTTTGCATCTTGAATGCGTTGCTAGTTCCTGGTGATTTTTTTTTTCTTTCAAGGACAAGTCGATCGATACATTTATATATTTCGTCCTTTTGTCATACTATTAGTACTGTATTTTCATATTTATTTATTTTTTTCTGGTGTAGATCATGGGTATCAGCAACACTATCGGCACCGTGCCTGGCATCGTGGGCAATTTGTTCACTGGGTGGATGCTCAGTCGAAGTAACAACAACTGGGATGTGGTATTTGGGGTAGTGGCGGCCGTGCTCGTGGGTGGCGCCGCCGTCTTCCACTGCTGGGCGACTGACCACCTCGACGACGACGGCGACCACGCCAAGAAGGATCTCATGGCCACCAACCTCCTGGACAGCGACGACGACGAGTTGCACTTGGAGCGTGACGAGTTTTTCATTTAACCGCACTATTTCAAGAAATAAAGACTAATCAAGTAGTACATAAATAATAATATTCAAGCCTCGGAATATTATTGGTATTATTGTTTACTACATGTTTACTATTGGTATCATATTATATGAAGGCTAATCGTAATCTACTTTACCACATAAACAAGTCAGGTATCAGTAGAGCATCAAAATTATGGACAGAAAGTAGTGTATTTTTCACTTGTCCTTGGATAAATTGAATCATATGCCAATATATTGTGGACAAATTGAATGGTATTCCCATACGGATCTTTCACACGTCTTTTTATTTACGTTGCTTGAAAAATGTTTATTTTGTCTCTTTTATAGTATACCTGGCTATGTCGTATTTCTTGAGTGAGATGCAACCAACCCGAAAAACAAGTGCAATCGTGTAAATATATTATTCCCAGAAATATATCATTCCCAGAAATATATCATTCCCAGAAATATATTATTCCCAGACAGAGGTAGTCACGGACACCGGTATGTATGAAGACGGTTAAATAAGGATCATTATCTAATGCCACTCTACGCGACGTCGGCCACGGGCGGCGGTGGCGCCTTCTTCTTGGCCGCGCGCGCTTTTTTCACGACAAACTTGCGATGCGCCGCACGGAACTCTTCTGTGAACGCCCATAGCACGCTAAATAGCTCGTCCACTTCGTAGTTGCCTTCTTCGCCAATGTAGTGCAAAAACGACGATTTCTATCCACATACGATTTAATATATATATTATTACGTCATGTATACCAGCCAGTGTTCATTTTAAATATAAGCAAGACAATCGCACATATACATAAACGTAGGGCCTTCTTACTCCAGGGAAGGTAATTCCCAGGGGAACTATTATATATATATATATATACCTGTAGATCACATTCCAAACAATAACCATGCAAATATTGTCCAGTAAAAATATCCATACCTGTGAGTCGACTCTTAAGTATGAACAAACATACTTAAGAGTCGACTATCTACTTTATATTCCAATGCATACAATATACTAATATAACAAACTGCCTATAACAGAATTGTTTATTCCGAACCTTTTGATTCAACGCGTCCAGTTGCTCCGTCAAGTCTTTCAATTCCAAGTCCACTTTTGTAATGAAAAACCGAATCGCGGCCGCCGTCAAGTTGGTTTCGTGGTCTTCACCCTACAAAACATCCCATGATTTAAAAAAGAATTAAAAATAGTTTTTTTCGTACCAGAATGCGCTGCGCTTCGGCTTCCAAGTGGGCCCGGCCAGCCTCAAGCGCCTTTTTTTCGCTATACAATTGCTGCGTGACCACCCGCGACGCTCGCTCCAGCAGCCCCACTTCCTCGTCAAACTGGGCTAGATGCGGAGCGTCTCGCTACCGATTTCAAACACATTTTAAATACGAAAAAACACATTTTACATACGAAAAACATTTGAAATACGAAAAAAACATTTTAAATATCCCCGTTCCACATGTATACACATACGTACGTCGACGACTTCGACCAAAAACTGCAGCAGCGTTGTCTGGCCCACAAACGCTTTGGTTTGAGACAACTTGACCAATGAACTGAGCGAAAAGCCCTTGGCCGCGGCGTGGGGCGCGTCCTTGCCAAAGTTGAGCACGTTGCCCATGTTTAACACGAGCAGCAGAATGTCCTAGGATAGTTTAAAATTCATTTCAAATGTTTGATTTCGATAATATAAGCAAAAACGTACCCGGAGGTCGTCGCTGGTGCAAATTTGGTGCACGCATCGCACGACCAATAGAATCGTCTCTCTACGAGTCAGAATATAATTTTGAGATATATTGATTAATATATATGGATGAAGAGTAAAAACAAATATAGTTTCACATGGGAGAGATTTGAGGGATATTAATTACTATTAGAATATCTCGATGAATATATGTAATATTTCCTACCGAAGTTCGTGGCTTCGGGACAGAAACTCTTGCTTGAAGATCAAGCACTGCAGCTTTTCAGTGAACCGGGGCGTGTCTCGCATCACGTAGCAAAACCGTTCCGCCTGTCATGTACATATGTATATAAATATATAATATTTCCAACCTATATATAATATAGATATATATCCAACAAACATACCAGCCCTAAGGTCTGAGGTTCGCCTGGGAAATCCCGGATCGCTTTCATTTCTTGAGTGTCAGGCCATAGATCGATCAGGGCTTTCAGGTGCATGGACGACATCACGGTCGGGTTCATGTTGAGGATCTCGTCTTTGATTTTTCTAATAAATAAATATATGTTGAAAACGATGTAAATAGATATATATATCCCGTACTCGAACGGCACTTTGATACGTGCCAACGTAATCCCAATGTTCTGCGCCTTCTTCATGTCCATGAGCGAAATGCTTTTCACTTGCAAGTCCCGCGACGACTTGGCCGCCGTCAAGAGGTCGCTTTGCATCGCTTTCGTAGCTTGGTCATGCACGGATTTGGTAAACAGCCGCTCCAACGCCACCACGCTGGCTTCAGACAGCGTCGCTACAGTCGTCCACAGACGAATGAGATATTAATTCACTCGATCTCAACGACGAGAATACATGTTTCATGGGTATTCGATATATATATATATATATAACATTTACAAATAGAAGAATACAGGCACAAATACTGGACAACCAACTTATAATATAGTTATCCCGTCGACTCGACACCAAACGAAACGCCATATCTATTCTTTGATAAAGTCACACGTGCATTGTATCGGACCATACGCAACACACGACAAATCAGTCCAATAATATATACATCTATATATATATATATATATAATCCATATATACACCAATCCGTCAAATATATTTATTTATTTATTTATATACAAATCAGTCAAATAATATACATACATATGACATCTCAACGTCTTTCAATGATTAACACGAATAGACTATTATAAACATACCCTTATATATCTACAATCGACGACACACAATTGCCCATAAAGGATATATATATATATATATATATCCATTCCCGTACATCCCGTATTCAGAGCCTATGTATGTACCTTGACTGGGCTGCTTCCACAGCGTCGAGTCGTGCATGGCATCCTTGTTAAGTACGACCCAGTGCAGTTTTTTGCGTATTTTGTCAGACTTTTTTTGCCTTGTGAGAAACGTGGCCTTGGTCGAATTGGTCGTCGCAGCAGCGTTCGGGTGGAGCCAGCTCGGGTCGACGCCATCTTTGGCCATCGCGTGGTCCACGGCTAGGGGCGGCATGCCCATCTTGAGCATCTTGCGGTACTTTAGCACGACGTTGTCCTTGTGTTTGGCAAAGGCGGCGTCTAGCTGGGTCTTGGGCACAGTGGGCATAGTCGGGTCGAGCGACAGGAGGTGGATGGACACGCCATCCGCCGTCAGTTTATGCTCCACGACGGGGCGGGGGAGGCCCGTCTTGAGCATTTTGAAGTACTTTTCATACGCTGGGTCCGTGGCCAGGGTGTGTTCAACCAGCGGCAGCTCCGGGTCCAAGTCGAGGATCGATGGGTCCACTTGATCCTTGAGCATGCGATGCTGCACGGCAGGCTTGGGCAGCCCTCGCTTGAGCATGACAAAGTACGTGGCGTACTTGGGGTGGTCTTTTAGAGGTACGCTAGTACTAGTACTACTAGTATGGTCGAGGTCGTCCGTGTTGTTATTGGCAGCGGATGTAGAAGAAGATGATGGGCTCGAGTATGAAGACTCGGTGGACGCCGTAGACGATGTGGGCGAAGGTTGTTGCTGCTGGTGTGTTTGATGGGGACTGGCGGATGCGCTGGGCGGTTGCAAGCGTGGCTCCAGCATGGTGCTATGTTTTGATCCAGCATTCGTAGTGGTGGTAGGTGGTTTGTGGCTCGTGGGCGTCGTTCGTTTCTGCATGAGTTGCTCCAGCATGGCATGCTTGGTGGGTTTGGGAGCTGTAGCTACATGTGATGGTGATGCCGGCTGCGCGGCTTTCTTTCGAGCGAGCATCAGTTCCTCCAACATACTGGCCGGTTTCGATGGTCGGGTGGTGGTGGATGGAGGATGAGGGGTCGCGTGGACGACGACTGGCGTGGTGGTGATGTCGTTGTCGCTCTGGTTGCTCGTGTCGTCTGGAGAAGACGAGTCGAGGACAGTAGTATTCAGAGTCCGTCGACTCATGCGCTCCATGAGTGAAGGGGCTGCTGCCGAGGTACTTTGAGGTTTTGTCCTGACGAAATTGGTGTCGTCTTCAGGCTGCGGTTGCTGTTTCTGTTGTTGCTCCTCGTCGGCCTTTCGTTCAAGTTCTTGGAGGATTTCAATCGCCGACTTGGCAAATGGCGACGCGAATGTCTGGGACGGCGTCTTCTTCTCCATAAATGGCGGCAACATGGACGTAGTAGCGTCGGCGGCACCGTCGAGGTGCAACGCCCTTGCAAACCCAAACGGCTTGACGCTGCCCTGTGGCTTGCCTTGGCGCTTACTGAGCTCGGCTAAGAAGGACATGGGGCATCTAATGAAGAAACGAACAACCGAGGACTGATGGGTATGCTGTTCCCGCGTCAGATGTCCCACAAAGAAGTGCGCTGGACTGGCGGTAGTGGGAACTTTCGTAGGCGACTTGTGACACCAGATGGCGATCACAGGGCTGTTATTGACAGATTATCCGGTCGTTCCGGATAACCCTCGTCCGTTTCATTGGTGAGGGTTTTGTGCAAGCGTTTTATTCGGTTTAGCGTCGTTGGCCGACAAATTTGGTTTATTCGACGAAATTAATTTACAATTTAACTGCATTTGAAACCACTGGTTTATTCGACGAAATTAATATTATCGAGCATACATTTCTCCATACAAATCCATTGGGCGGGTTGGATATTTTTGGTTTTTTTATTGCCACGAAGCCAGCCACCGCATTTTATAGATTCGAAATCCAGCGCTGGGATTGGTCCGTTTGAATTGATCGAAACCAAAAAATTCGATTGGTCCGCCGGTTTACCGCGGTGTAATTTTATTCCTACGAACCAATCGCAAACCGTCCCTTTCCCCATTTGATTTCTGAGGTTGCAATGGAAAAGCCAGCGACCGACGACGCCACCATCGCCCCCGCCCCGTCGTCCGACCCATCGACGCCCGTCAAGGTTCTTGCTATCTCCTCCACTGTTGCCACTACCACCCCTGCTGATGGCGTCCCGCAACCCAAGCGCCGCGGTCGACCTCCCAAAGTTCGTGACCCCGACGAGCTCGACAAAGTTGTGAAACGACCTCGGGGCCGCCCGCGCAACCCGGACAAGCTCACTGCATCGTGGTGCCCGGAAAGCGTGAAACTGCTCTTCTACCTCCGCTATGACTCGGACTTGCGACAGAAATTTGACGAAAAGGACAACCGGTCCAAGCGCACGGGGTACGAGTTGCTCGCGTCGACGCTCAGCGACAAGATTGGCCGCAAGTTTGACAATGCGCAAGTCCAACAAAAGGTACGAGAACATGTTTATGTGGTACTGTGCAACCTTCCGACCGACTTCATCTTGCGCTAGTTGTCCCAACTGGGCACAGTTTGGGCGAAATTGGACCCAAAGGACGACGAGGCCACCCGCCCGCAGCACTGGGAGGTGATGAATGAATACTGGGGGCCCGGCTCCAAGTTCCCGCAGCCGCAGCTCCAGCCTCCGATCGTGCCCCGTCATCAAATCAACAAACGGGATTCCGCGGACTCGGATTACTTGGCTCCTCCGGCGGTCACGTCGTCGACGTTGTCGACGAGTTTTCTCGAAGCGGTGGTGCCTGCGTTGTCGTCTTCGTTGGCCGCCGTGCAGCCCCACAAACTGCGCCGCATTCTGTCCAAGCACTCCGAGTCTGATGAGACCGTCGCCGCCACGGACGTCCATTCTGCCGCCGCCGCCGCCGTGTCGTCGTCCGCCGCGCAATCCGATCAAGGCGACTCGGAAGCAACGCTCATCTCTGGCTTTTTGGCCGTGAAAGAAGGCCTGGTGGCCATTTCGTCTGCGATCGCTGGCCACGGAAACGACGACAAGATGGACGTGCTCGTCGCCGCCGTCGCCAAGCAGACGCACGCCATCGAGCAACAGTCCAAGCAGCTCGCGGCCCTCGTCGACCTCTTGTCCACCCGCCACCAACAAGCTACGGCCAACGACGACGCATAATGCCATCCCTCGTAATTCACCACGTTTCATGCATAGTTAGTCCATTCGTCTGTGTCTATTCCATACTACATACTAGTATATCTACTATAGTAACATGCAAAGAACCACGATTAACGTTATCTAACGTTTGGACTCGTTACTCTGGAGGATTAGTATTACTACATACTCGTAGTACTAAATGTAGTCAACGACGGGGACTACTATTAGTCATACTACCGAGGACCGTTATCAACCGTAGGACGGACTCGCAGGGAACTGTTACTATTACTACGTACTAGTACGTACTAGTATTACTAATAGGTATGTCACAACGGTGAACAACGTTAGTTAAAGAATGCTAGTACTACTAGTACTAGAGCGTTCATGGTATATCCCCCGTTTGCCTATTTACTACTAGTAGTACTCTACTTGAGCGTGGCTAGCGTGGCCGTGGCTTGGTCGTGCACTTGCTGGTCTTCCGAGGTGACAACTGGCACTGCCAGCGCTAGCCGGAGCCAGTCCTTGGCTTGAGGGACGTCGTTCAGTTTCAAGTACGTTTGGGCCACGAGCAGCGAGTTCTTCTTCCAAAACCCTGGGGAAATGGCATCCGCTTGCAGAAAGTACGCCAGCGCCTCGGCATACCTACTTTCACGGTTCACCACGATGCCGTTAAGACCCTTTTTGAATTACGTGGCGCGCGGCGGGGTTCCAAAGATTGCCGTCGCGAGCTGCCTTTCGATCCACGAAATGTCGGCGATGGTCAAGCACCACCGCCCCAACAAATGGAACGACGTCGCGTCTGACGGATTCAACGCGATGGCTTTGAGCCAGTGGTCGCGCACCGTGAACGAATTCGCGATCGTGACTTTCGAGCCTTCAAACTCTCCGATGGACGACAAGATGATCCCATACCTAATGAGAAACATCATCGAATGTGGGACGTGTGTGTGATCTACCATTTGTGCACGGCAAAATTGTCGGCATCGAGGGCAAGAGCCGCTTGAATCACGTCCCGAGCGAGGTAGATGAGCGTCTTCTTCTCGTCCAACGACGTTGACGACAGCGACGCAACGTCGTATGCGGCACGCGCCAGTCGCCATTGAAGCCCCACATCGTGTGGGTGTTCTACGGTCGCATCGTGAGCGACTCGCCCTGGAAAGAAGAAACGTACCACCGACACCACGTTGAAGGTACTGCAACAGTTTGCGACGATCGTACGAAGGGGAATTATACAGCTCTTCTGCTTTCACAGCCAGGGTGGACTCTTGCGATCGTGCATGGATCACAGTACTCGTGGATGCAAGCAAAAATATCGAGGCGGCTGCACCAAGCAACATGGAGGCAGGTGGCGTGGGGTTCTGTCGAACAGAGGAGGACGCGATCGCTGGAGCTGCGGCCGTGCCATGGAGTCGCACCGCGCGACGGCTCATGCGAAGGATCTTACGGCCTATATCATGCACTTGCTTATGGTATCTGCACCTCTCCTTTGCATCATCGGCATTCATCGTACCTGTCGACATCCTCTCGGCGATCTTTTGGCCACTACTCTCGAAGTTCGAAGCAATGTGCTTCGTTTCGAATTTTATAGTAAAACGTCAACGTCGTGGATTTAACGCATGTTGTTTAAACACGTTGATGGCAGCGACAAAAACATGACGTGGCCACCTAACTGAATTTTACTGAATTTTACTTGTACTGGTACATGTAAGTAATAATAATACAACCATACTACTGTATTCCTAGTATTACTACGTAGTAATAGTACTTTCGTGTTCGATGGACGTTGTGAGCATCGTGGCTATTACGTAGTACAGTATTACTTACACCAACGTACATATGAATCTCCTCAAATATAGCGACATTTGATAATCCCTGGAAAAGATATAGAAACTAATAGAACAATCTTGTAGCCAATCAGCGACAAACATGTTCCGCAGAACCAATCAAATGTCGCGGTTCACACTGACACAAAACTGCATTTTTTTGTGACTAACTGGATATCTACAACCACAACTATAAATAGTGTACTTCGAAGTATAAATAACACATGAGCATCTCCAATCCTAGTGTAATAATACTATTAATATGAAGTATATTATTACATAATCAACATCGTGGCTAGGTCCAAAGGTTCATCAAATAGCTGACAGGGGGTCGACTCCTCGGGTCATCCTGCAGACACATGACAATCGCAGGTTGCAGCGATCCTCGATTGAACGTCAGCGCCTGTCTCAGCGGCAGCAGCTGTGACACTGTCATATCGTGGCGGCCAGGAATGCATCGGGCAGTGCGATTTAGAAAGTGGTAGACACTCTCGCCCGTGTCGAGTTCGGCGAGTAAAATGCCAAACGAGTAAACGTCGGCTGCGACACTGTGCGGGCCGCCGCTGAGCACTTCGGGCGCAATGTACAGCGTCTGATGGGCCATTCCTAGCTTGGACACGTCGCACGGTACCAGGTCCAGGCGGTTTAAAAGTGCGCTAAATCCAGCGTCCACCACCACCTATATACACAAATCGTATCACGAGACGATTCCATCAAAGGCACTAGCAAGATCGCACGAAAACCATAATAAAATACATATATATTGTGAATTCGAGTGAATAATTTCGTGTTGTGGCGTAGTTCTCGTTGGAATTTAAATCGATTTGATTGGCTACTTCAGATGAGCTCAAAATTATTAGCCAATCAAAACACATTTCTCAATGAAATTCGACCAATCAGATCGATTGTGGATCGGTTTGGTCGGCGCGATTCGATTGCACCCCCTCCCCAAATTTGTATATCAAATCGACAATATATTGTGAATTCGCTATAAACGTCCATATTTGTTTGCGTGGTTTTGTCCAATGAATTTTTTTGCCTTAATCCTCTCGAGTTCGAAAAACTTGTCGTTTCTGTAAGAGCCAATCAAATCCACTCAAATTTGGAGTAGCCAATAGCGTCGATGTTTCGTGTGGATTCGATTCGACGGGGTGTGGACATTTGTACCGAATAATCCACAATATATATATATATAAGTTGTCGAATTTGGATTGTATTGTAGTTGGAAAAACGTCCTAAATAATTGCACAAATGAGATATCTCTCAACCAATGATCGATCAGAATGGGTAGTTTGGCCCCGTCAAAACATACATCTTGAAATGTGTATACCATACATTGAATAAGCTATAAATCTGGCACACAGTCATGCTCGAAATTTTATGCTTACGGCGACACATACTAAAAAAGAATCACCTCCAGTGGTCAAATGATATATCAAAATTCTCATTCACTTTTGGCGATCACTAAACCGTCGTATATTGGCTGCAAATATACAACGCGAATCACATAATCATACAATTCCATTGAAATAAATATATCATTAATCAATGGAATACTTGTACGATATTTTATAATTTGTTCAAAGATATTTATATATAGTTTTTGCAAACATACGACACATACGGTAGTTCATTCACGCCCTACGAAAACCATGCAACCGTTCAAACTAATAAACTCTAGTTAGATGACGCATATATATTTCGTACTCTATGACACCACCTCAACTCTTAACCTTGGGGACTTCGCATTATATTTCAAAGTATGTGCACGCGGGAAAACCCCCGAAACCCCCCAGAAGCCCCGAATATATATATATAAAGCCTTGGAAGTAGGTTGTTGTACATACCGACGACGAGCTCAAGTTGCCGTGCACTTGGGCTGTGCTGTGAAGGTACCGCAGACCCGCTGCAATGTGCGACGCCACCTGTCCCTGCACTTCAGCCGTGGGGATGTGGGGGATGCATTGCTTGAGGTCCACAACCAGCTCGTCGTCGGCGCACACGAGCGCGAGGCTGTGGGGCTGCCACGTCACGCCCACCAGCGCCGTGATACGCGGGTGTTGGAACCGGACCAGTCGCTCCACTTGTCGCGCAAATACGCGCAGCGATAGCTCCGACCCTAGATACACATCCATAGTGTCGTTATAGGACAAAAAATATATTCGTGTTGTAAAAAAATAAAAATCCTATATACTTGTAGGTAATAAAAAACAAATCCATGAAAAGAATCTTATTATATTTTTGAAATTTTGATTCCATCCACTATGCATTTGTTGATATGTACAATGAAACCCACATCATACATGCGAATCCAACTCGATCGATTGTTTTGATAGGTTCGATATATTTAGTTTTTCTTTGTATGCAATATAAAATATATATTATACATTGTGTTTTTATTCTTAGTAGGAATTTTTGGTGTGACTCGACCCAATCCCCCAAATCCCAGAGCACACGATCGATGCAAGTGGCGAATCAAATAGCCTCAACGATCGAATTAGTGTGTGACTTGAAATAGTGTGACACAGGAAACTTACATCCTGTCAGGACAACCAAATCGATTGATATCTTTTGAAAATTCAAATTTTGACTCATCCATAACACGTTTGTAATTTATTGCTGTATTTATTCCAAACTCGAGCCACGTGGCGAATAAATATATCATTGACACAACCAAATGGGCAGCATTTAGCCAATCCGATTGCAGGAAACCATTAGTGTGTGACTTCAATTAGTGTGATAGGTATCACCGCTGGACACAAAATTTTACATCCAAAATTCCATACAAAACCAAATCGATCGACATTTGGCAAATCAGCATAAAAATCCAGCGTTTGCTTGGGTGATCAAACAAAGCGTCCAAATCCCAAACAATGCCCAATGTACTGAAAAATAGCGTACATATCGTAGTATAAATGTCCCCGTCGAATCCCGAATCGACGCCAACGATTGGCTAATCCAATTTGAGTGGATATATTTGATTGGCTCGAAAGGACAAGTATATTCAACCAATCACAAGTCCAGAGGATATATTTGACAAAACCACCTTGTGAAAGTTTATATACTTCCAAGTGTACAATACATACCCGACACCCGCTTCACAAGCACCAGCTGCGCACGGTACGAGCCTTTCCATACTTCCATCACGTCAGTGGCCGAGGTCGAGTCGGTCCAGATGCCATCTTGCTTGGAGTGGTACAGCCGGACTTTATACTCAACTTCCGTCCACTCCAACATGTGGGGACGGAGAAGGCATTGCTGGCGTAGTAGCCATCCATCCAACTCGGTCGAGACAGTGTCGTTGGTCACATCTGATTCGATCGCCGGGTACGCACTTGAACTGATGATGGTAGTTGCGCTTGTGGTAGTGGTGGTGGCTGGTTTGGCAGGGGTGACGAGGTCGCGAAAGGTTGTCCAGTGGAACAGCGATGGCGGCGCGACGGTGACCGATGACGTGGCAGCGTCCGAGTCGAAAAGCCCGCGATGACGATGACGATGGCGACGCACGACCTTCATGACCACCAAGTACACGACCGCCACGGCCATGCCAGACAGAACGGTCCACGCCAGCACGATCGCTGCGATCTGAGTCGCCGAGTCCGGGTCTATATAATGGATATTATATCATGGATATTAATATTATCCCATTTGCCCAAATTTAGATGGGCAGTTCATTCGAGAAATCGACTCGAAGTACAATGGTATATACCATACAATGTATACTTTATACGAAAATGGAATATATAAATACTTCAACTGGGACAAATGGACCCAAGCCTTGGACTACCATTATTGGTTGGAATTTAGGATTGAAGCAATTTCATTGGCTAGTTAGTCGCTATTCGATTATTGGCCTACCCACGCCCACTTCGAATCGAATGTATAATATGTAAGTAGCCAAGTTGAAAGTATAGGGAAGATATAGTAGCAAAACAAGGTAACCGAAGAGCCAATGAAGCTTGCTTCAATCCAAAATGCCAACCAATCAAATCGCAGTTGACCAATGTTTGGCGAGGTTGTTGGCCTCATTTCGTCCACGTCGAGCATGGGGTTTTTGTTTACTCCGTATTCCGGAGTATTAGTTATTAGTAGTTTACATTGGATGGAATGATAGTCATGAAATTAGGCTTCGAGTTCACGATTTCAAATATTAGTATATAAAATTGTCAACAATATTTTGGGTGAATAGGACAATCATATATATCTATGAGCCACACATACAACTCGATAACACAAACAACCTGGTAGAGAATCACAGACTACGAAAGATAATTCCCTGGTCTCGAATGAAAATCACGAAGACGAACCGGTCCAAGGAATATATTATTTCATGTCGAAAGATAAACAATAATTTTTTGCTATGTACTATACAGTATATCGATTCCTCTATTTTTATTCAAATGAAAATTCTCTGAAATGATTTTTATTCTATAGATAGATTTTTAAAATACAACCATCTGGACGTATTAAAAACAATAAAAGCCGTGAAAAATCCAAACAAGAACGGAGAATAGTCAGCCCATCCACATATATTTAGATATAGACCAATATTGCCAAGTCGATTCGAAATTGGAAGAGTGGGGTGCACTGCTCTCAATCGAATATGACAGGAATAACCACATCGACAAGACAATCCATCGCGACGACCAATCAAAACCCAGAACACTATTCAAGTGGTCAATCCACTACTCTTCAACCAAATCAACATCGAATTAGTATGTGTACCTGAAATTAGTGTGACACTCAACAATCTTTACATACAAAAGTCAGTACAACGAATGGATCGACAGATTTGGCAAAGAATCAGCACAAAAGTCCAAATACTACTTATGGGGTAAAAGGACAATACATCTGAGAACGCACCGTCGACGCACACAGACCAGTTTTCTCCGTTGGAGCTGTTGTACACGATGGAAATAACTGGCGACTCGGGGCAGTTGGGCAGCGACTCGCCCGACCAATCGCCGTAGTCCCGCCCAGGGGTTTTTGGAAACGTGTGGATATGCAGGTCCATGCCTGGCTTAGTTAGAAACTGGTACTCGGCCAGGGATAACGAGATCAGGGTGAAGTTATTGTGGCGGACAAACAGGCGAGTTAGTTTCGGTAGCTTGAAGATGAACTTGGGGATGCTGCGGAGGCCCAAGGCACTGAGCCCACTACGTTTGCCCATATATAAATATATAAATATTATATCCTAAGGGATGTGGACACCATGAACAACAACACCATGCATATGTATATATCGTAACGGATATGGAATACAACACAACAAACGTGAATATGCCGTAAGGGATATGGACAACAGAAAATTCATGGATATATATATATATATATATATATTCAAAGGGATATGGACAAAATGAAAACCCCATAATACTGTAGTATGTCATTAGTGACATGGAAAACAAACAAAAATCTATGCATATATATCCTAAGGGATGTGGAAAACTAAACACCCATGCATATATATATATATATATATATCGTAAGCGATATGGACAAGATTTGATCACGTACATGCCCCCCAATTGCTGCAGGAATGGAAATCGAAGTGCGATTTCGCCGCCTTGATCTACTTCCAACTTGGTGCGGAGTTGGTCAGTGTTGTTGGACATATCTCTACGAGGAAGTTTACGGATAGTTAAGTGATACATATTATATGATACAGTATCAATATATGATAAATATATATACGTAGGTGTTTAAATAAGGAGTGATATATATATATATATATATATTTACAAGTAGGTGAGGCTGGGCCAGTCTGTGTCGGTTAAGTTTGGAAAGTTCACGAGGCTGCAATTGAACAGCAGCCTAATAATATATACCAATATATTAATAGTGAAAATGCATAGAAAAAGTATATATATATAGAAAAAGTATATTAGATTTCGGTCGTACAAGGTGGCCACGGTAGGCGGGACAATCCATTTCTCCACGTTTGTATGGGCCATATTCACAAACCGAATGATTCTGCATCATACAGTAGTATGTCAATGAGAGAAGTGAGAGATGACGGCTCACATGGTGTTGAGGTTGGGGACGCCTGATACATTGAGAAACTCCAAGTTCCCTCGACGGGTGGGGATGCCGAAGAAGTGCCTACGCACACATGATGAGGCAATGCACATGGATGTGACGAAGACCTACGTGGCATTGATAGTGTCGTTGGTCATGGTGATGCCCAGCACGGGTTCTGGGATCGCGGCGAGATTGAAGGACACGCCGATGGGATTCTGGTCGATTGGGCCTGGTGTGACGCATACTGGGGATGTGTCTGTGGCGGAATTGACGACGCACGCGGCTGGACACGAGGTCGACACACACGGATGGTACAGGTGCGGGTATGGCTCCATCGCACGGATCCAAGGAAGTACGAGGAAAGAGAGGATGGCCGCACGTGCGTGGCAGCGCGGCAGCGGTATCATGCAAGTGAAGATGCGCTTCCTGGAGGGATGGAGAATCTGTCTGCGCACTGGTTGTCGCTGCGATGTTCCCGCTAGTATCCAATGTGGTACAAATACAATGCAGCAACATGATTGGCCCAAAACAGTGGTGCTATTTGGGCCAAACCTTTCAACCTGCTGAAATGCTTGCTAATAGTCATAGCACAGGTTGGTTGTTGTTGGCATCTCCATAAGATGTTAATAGTGTTGTTACATCGTGCGGCACCCTCTTCTTTGCGATTCCACGGCCTCCAGCATCACCAGCCATCTCTCTTTGGGGCAAACTGGTGGGATAAATATTGAAGCCAGCTAAACCCGACCAGAACAGATATACTAGATAAGGTAATCTAGTTCCACTTAGAACAAGTGAAATCGTCGATCAACACAAAACTTTTCAAGAGCGTGGCCCTCTTCCCTGGGACTTCGTCCTAACTTACCCCAAAGTGACCACGTGTGGTGCTTTGTACCAGGGCTTGTTAGCAGCAAGCGGTTAGCCACAGCTGACCACTTGCAACACACAAACCCCTCGTGGGAAGGAGTATGATACCACCGTTGGAGATGCTCTTAGGTCATCTCCAACGGTGTTTTTTTCTATTGTCAATTCGAAGTTACGGATATAGAATAGAAACTCTTGCATTATCCGGAGGGTTTGTTGCTATTTCACGCGAAAATACTAGTAGAAATTCTGAAGGACGTAATTTCTAAATAATCCGGATAATGCCAAAATAGCAACCGTAAAAACGAAGTTTGACTTTAACCTATCCTTTAGCAATAAGTTAGAATTTACCGTTGGAGATGCCCTTACAGTTAATACTTCCTTCCTCTGTTCCAGGTTACTGCCGACATGTCAAAATTCGCATGTTCCAAGTTACTGGCGATATTTGCATTTCATTGGCTGTAATTCTTCAATTTCTCTCAATATCGAACATTTATGACATTTCATTGGCTTACAATTGCTTTAAGGGCTGATTGTAAACCAATCTTGTGCGAAAATTCATGCAATTCCCTTTCAAACAAAGTATCATTCGCCCAAATTGAGTGAGGGCTCGATGTTTGTGTCAATTCAAAGTAAATGTCGGCAGTAACCTGGAACAGAGGAAGTATTGGAGATTCGGTATGAATTTCTGGACCCCGTTCAATCGAATCTCGCCGAGCGAATCGAGCACCAATCTCTCCCATTGGTCATTCCAAAATTACTTGTCGCTGATTGGCTACAATCCATTTTCGAGTTTCTACTGGAAAGGGCGAAGTGGATATTGGCCAATCAGATGTCTCGGCTCAATTTGTCAAAATTGGGAAATTTGAAGAAAATCGACAATACCTACCGGTAAAATATTTTATCGAGTAATTACATCTGTGGATTCGAGACTTTTTAGGATTTAACTCGACACTTGAAGTATACAGGGAATAAATACTAAGCAGCCTGTGCAACACAGTTCATAGTGTATTCCAACGATCATCGCTGCAAGTTTTCATGACAGGGTTGCCATTATTATCCGACTCTGGTGGCGCGCACGAGGACCATGTCGTCGGGGTAGTCGACTTGGGTACATACAAAGTCTACTGGTTGCCACGTGAAGCCTGCAGCTTGGAGCATCGAGAAGAACAACGCTTCCTGGGCTGGGATGCGCGGCTCGTAGCAGAGAAAGATGTGAGTCGCTGGCGTCGCCAGTGCATCGAGAGTATGGACCAAGGCGGCGAAGACGCTGGCATTGTACAGCACGTCCGACGCCACGATCAGGTCCACCTGGCTTCCGTCGGTCGCATCCTCGCCCCATTGCAGGGCCTTGACGAGCGGGCGGGGGCCTGCGGGTCCAAAGTTTGCGTCCACGTTTTTGTCGAGAAGGGGAAGGCAGTATGGCTGGTCGGTGAGAGTCACCTACACCACCACCACCACCATTCATTCATTCGCGGTTGAGGAGTGCACAACACGATGGACGTACCTCCATGCAGCCCAGCGCTGATAACACCATGCCAACAAGACCGATGCCAGCACCCAATTCCACCGCACGACAACACGATAAGTCTGTTGATTTTGAGTACACTTGCTGCATGTAGTCGGCGAGTACCAATGCAGCGTCCCAGACCAAGTGTCCGTGCGACGCAGCGAGTGGCTTCTCCGACGCACATGCGGAGCGATCTTGGATGGCCGTGATGTACGGGATGTTGTGCTTGGGGTCGACGATGGAGTAGCGGAAGGACGGCAGCGACAGCCGCCCCCAAATGTCTGCGTCGTCCTCTGCCATGGTTTTGGCGCGACGCCGATAGTGTCCTTATCCGGAAAGACATCCGGAATTCACAGAGCAGCCATATTAAAGTACAGAGGTTCAACGTAAACTTGCATAAGTCAATATATACTAGACTCCCATTGGCTAGAGTGGAATTGTTTGGACGAATCATATTGCAGTATTTCAACTGCCGAACAAAACTTGGGATGGCGGACGACAACGTCGACGCAACACAACCCGCCAAGCGACAGAAGGTCGCGGCGACGCCGCTGGGCTTTCATCTGACGTCGCTTCGAGGGGGAACATTGCAGCAGAATCGTAAGTTGAGACTACGCCTATAGCTTGTGCATGGATCCCTTGCCTTTCTGGAGCTGACACATGACCAGGGCATGCGCGGTCCTTGTCGAGTTTGTTGGATGGCGAGTTCACGCATGCGATCTTGACCAACTATAAAGTCGATGTGCCGTGGCTCTTCGGCCAGTGCCCTCGTCTCGCCCAAGTTCCCGTCATTCTCGTGCATGGTGGCCACCAAGAAAGGTTCGTTCGCATGCTGGTCCTTTGGCACTCATTTGAATATGAACGCTCTGTGACGTAGCATGCAAGCAGCATGTCGGCAATACAAGCAAGTGACGGTCGTGGCACCCCCGCTCCCGATCCCATATGGCACCCACCACACCAAGATGTTGGTGCGGTGCACACCGCCTTCTCCATGTCGTCCTCACTCGACTTGATAGATTGCGTTTCATTCTACCTTTGTGCGCGTGGCCATCTTTACCGCCAATTTTGTTCGAAACGATTGGGAGTGCAAAACCCAGGGCTTGTGGACCCAGGACTTTTCGTTCAAGACGTCTCCTACACCTAGCTGTGCATTCGAGTCGGATTTGCTCGACTATATGACGGCGCTCAAGGCACCTGCCGTGACGTCACTCTGTCGCAGTTCCTTTCCACGCTACGACTTTACAGCGGCAAATGTGACACTGGTAGCGTCGGTGCCCGGAGTCCACCAAGGCATTGACGGTATATATATATATATATATATTGTTATCAATATGTATCCTTGAAATCGCAATATATATGTTATGCGATGAATTTTCGTCGTAGCGATGCACAAATATGGCCATTTGCGAATGAAAAAGTAAGAACGACTACTGCTGTAAGATTTCTATACATTTGTCTTGTGAAAAGGCGAAATTTACTGTAGGTTGTTGCAGCAACACGTGGCACCTCACAACCATCCATTGGTGTGCCAGGTACGTATATCTATATATATATATATATAATAGTTTTGGATAGAATCAATTGTCGAGGCTTTGGATCGCTAAACCTTGTTTTTTACTGGGATTTTAATTGAGTTAAATCACAATGTATTTTAATATTTTTAAAACCGATGCGTTCTTAATATATATATATGCTTAAAATATATATTTGTCCCGCCAATTAGTAGTATGAATGAACCACGTGGACATTTTAGTATTCCAGCCTCGGTTCATTGGATGAGAAATGGATCGGCGAGTTTTACAAGAGCTTTGTGCCTGGTTCGGCAGCAACTTCCTCTGCAACGTCCATGAGCCAGCGAGTTGGCAAAAAAAAGCCCACGCCTACTAGCTACTTTCCGTCGCCAGCGCAATTGCATTGCATTTGGCCATCGGTGGCTGCCGTGGTGCGGATATATATATATGTATATATATCATCAATATTACATATATATATTTACCGACGAAATGATAGCAAAACTCCAACGAAGGGTGGGAGGCTGGGCGGTCGCTACCGTGCGCGTTGAAAAATCTCAAGCCATTTTTGCACAAGTACCTTCGGTTATGGGACCCTCCTGCTGAATTATATCGCAAGCATGCGATGCCGCATATCAAAGTATGAACCAAACGAATATTTATTTCATATATATATCTGACGTTTATATCTACTATATGTACTGTACACTGGTGGAGAAAATATTCTGAAAAAGAAGTACAATCTATAATCTCGTGGATTTCGGCCTCTGTTTGTATCAAACCGAGTCATGGCAGTATATACTAACTATTGTATGCCTAACCACGGTATGTTGTGTGGTGGGTAGAGCTACGCCACGATCGACCCCACAACTCGAAGCTTGGACTTTGTCTTGTTAACTAGTGCAAACTTTAGCAAAGCCGCGTGGGGGGCCGTGGAAAAGGGCGGCACCCAGCTCAAAATCCGATCCTACGAACTTGGAGTGCTCTTCCTTCCAAGCCAAACGACGAAAGCGTTGCGGCTGCTCCCAGATGACCGTGATATGATGGACGTGGTGCGCTTTCCCCTGCCATTTCAGTGGCCGCCGACACCGTACGACCCGCGCACGGACGAGCCATGGACATGGGACCTGGCGCGCGCGGACGTGGACGTGTATGGGCTCACATATAGCGTCGACTAGAAACAAACTGATTCAAGTGTGTTGGTTGTGGGGTAGTCTAGTTGAGATAAGAATGTATCAGTACGAACGCAAGAGATTGGTGGTGGTCGGGTCGGCTTGCTCGACTGTACTACTGTACAGTACATTTTTCTGATAATGGTAAATACTATTAACGTTCATGGTACTAATATTATGTACACTGAGTATTTAATGACTACTACCGATAGTACCACGTAGTAGTGTTTATTGTACTGCTACATATTGATATTATTAATTCGTTGTAGTGTATAGTATTAGTAATTGTTTTGTGCGCAAATCGATCGAAATCGGTAGAATCATCGAAATGGCGCAAGTAAGATACGTACTGCATGTATTGACTATACTGTATATTGATGTTATCGTGAAATGTGTTGCGCAATATATATTTGTGACTGCAATGCATCAATCAATTTGATTAGCCAATCATATTGCAACCTTATGCTTTATAGTCCTTTGCTCGATTAATGAGCGATTTCATCAATCCCCCAAAATAGGCAAATTTGACTGAAAAGAAGTTTTTTATGAAATTTCGAAGGTCTGGCGATTGTTCGGATTTACACTGTTAACCAACCGCCTGAGGAAATTATGAGTAACGTTAGATGATAACTGTAGTTATTGTGCTGAAAGAATATACTGCCGTACAGTTTTTAAATAGAGATATTTCTGGATGCTTAGAACTTAAGAGGGATTAATTATTCCTCGGGAACTAACATTCTACCAAGGGTCACATGGGCAATTGTCGTTATATCGAACAATACTCTAGCCGACTAAGGCACGTTCATTTGTGATCATGACGGATCCAACGCGGCCGCTCTTGGCGTCGGTGCTGTCGCCTCTGTCGCTTGGCGTGGCCAAACCTTGGAAAGTCGGCTTATGTGGATGTGGGTCGACGTCCGCATCGGCCAAGCTCGGTAACACTCATGCATCACACTACCAAACTACTTGTTGAATCCTAACTCTGTGTAGCGTGGATGATGGCACTGCTTTGTCCATGCGTGCCGCTGGCGCAGGTCGCGAGTCGATTCAGCGGGCGCACGGCGTACGTGGTCGTGCTGTGTCTTGGCATGCTGCTACACATGTCGTTTGTCGTGTTGGTGTACATTGCGTGGTGCCACAACCCGAGCCACTGGCCGTCGTTCGTGGAACAGCTGACGTCGCTGTTTATGATGCAGCTAAATGACCTCCCGATCTACTGCTGGGGTGTCTGGGCGGTCCTTGTCGCCTACCTGCGGTCGTACGGTCGCGCCAAGATGCAGCTGGCGGGGAACTTTGGCTCGGACTTGGTCGTAGCATGTTGCTGCACCAGCTGCGCCATTGCCCAACTCGCCACCCAAGTGGACGTGTACGCCGCCAACGTCCGCCGCGACGACTGCCGCCAGTATTACTTTGGGCCTCGGGATGTCTTGCCTCCATACTTGGCGCTCGAGCCCCGGAAACCATTGAAGTATTCGTCTGCTCGGACTGTGGTGGTCTAGCTGATAGCCACATTGGTCACAGAATCTTTGAGTTGTTGGACAACGGGGTCGTCGGTCCCTACGAAACGTAGACGTGTGTAAGAGCTTACACAAAGGTGTAGTATATACCAGTAACGTTAGTACGTGTCATACGTTAGTACGTGTCATATAGAGTTATTTATGCATTGATCCTTGCGCCATGAATAATGCAGCTACTGTACTCGTTGGGTCCATCTGGGATGACGACATCACCGTTCGCATTTACGTGATGTCGTGCGTTCCAAATATTCGGACCATCCTCGATTGCCTCGTTGAAATCGAGCGCATTTGCCCGTTGGACTTGTTTGAAGTGTTGGAGGAGGCGTTCGCCAACCCGAGGGGTGGTCCAGAATGGGATGGCCTTGAGCTAGCTAGGTACACGTTTCACAAGTTGCATTGTTGTATATCACGTAAACGTGAGTTAGTTTGATCTTTGCGCATCATGTCGTGGTTAGTGTTGCCAAGGTATGGGACCATTAAGACGACTAAAGACAGTTAACGCGTGAATCATGTTATAATACTTCGACACACACTTGCGACTGTATTGTTAGTCGATGACTCAAAACGACAACACACTCGCGTTTAGTTGCCACACCAGGTAAGCGCAGCCATACTATTGCATTGGGCAACGGTCCATCCATTATAGCACGCTTGCGTGGGGGCGTAGTAGCAGTTTGTACAGGTGCCGCACGACAGCGAAGGCGGGGGGGTTGTGACGGGGGACTTGGTCGTGACGGGGATGTCCGTGGGGCCGGGGGGGGTGGGGACTGGCGATTTGGTCGTGGTGGGGGTGGCCGATGTGGGCGGCGGCGGCGGAGGGGGGGGTACGTTGCCTCCCAAGCTGTCGAGAGCCTGGCGAGCAGCGTTGGAGAATGCATACCCATCGAATCGGTCCCAGTTGATGGACCACGTCATGACTCCGCGGTAGGACGGGTACGGTTGCTTGGGGGAGATGGTATCGCAGCCGACGCCCTTGGTGAGACACGTGAGCGACCGCGAGACGACGTCGGCCGTGACGAAGCCCTGCCCAGCCGACTTGGGGCCAGACGGGACCCCGAACGACACTTGGTCGGGGCGCAAGCCCTTGAACTCCCACCCCTTGCCGTAGTTGGTTTTGAACCCTTCAATCAGCATCAAGCTGCCCCCCACTAGGCAGTCGACTGTGCCCTCCTTCAATTGACGGCCGTCTGGGTACATGAATCCCGCGTTGTTGTAGTACTGGACATGGATTTGCGTCAGTTCGTTGCGCAGGCCGTCAATGATGGGCAAGTACGAGCCCCAGATGCTGCCGTACGCGCCAGCTCCCCCCTGGACGTACGGGTGCTCGGGCGCCATGCTCAAGTAAAACGAAGGCCCGATGTTCTGCGCGATCTGCTTGACCCCTGTGACGAGGTTCTGGATGATCGGAAGCCCCGCCGATACGCCGCTTTCCAAGTCCACATCGATCCCGTCAAACCCGTACTTGGTCAAGAGCGCAGTCACAGATGACACAAAGTTGGCCGTCTCGGCAGCGTTCCCCAAGGACACGTACCCGTCCTGTCCCCCCAGCGACAGCGCCACCGTCTTGCCCTGCGCCTTGAGCGCGGCAATGTCAGCGATGAATTGGGCTTCCGAGCCCGCTTTGGGGTCCAACGTGAACCCGACCTTGCCCTCGCCGGCGTTTTCGGCAAACGCGATGTTGATCACGTCCCACGATGCCCCGATCTGGCTCAGCGGATACGTGTCGCCCGACGGGTTCTTAAAGTTGTGCCAGTACCCCACCAACGGGTGCGCGGCCACGCGAGGGGCGGCGGCTTGGGGATACCCCGCCGACGACCGAAAAACGGATGATGCAGACGACGAGGCCACCACAGCAGCTACAACTGACGCGGCTTTCATGGTGCAAATTGGTGAATGACCAAAATACTAGTCCGTAGTGTTGTTGCCCTGACTGATTCGTAAGACTGGCAGTTGGACGTAAACTGCCAAGTGCTGCTGCGAAAAATCGAGGCTTTTGTCCGTATACTACTTTGTTAGACGGTACAGAATTGATGTCACACTAACTGTAAACAGATTTCTCCTGATTCGTGGATTGTCTCGTGGTTATATTGACAGCGCTTGAGCAGCTTTTCTTGCTTTGACCAAAATTACAGGCGTTCGATGGCTACAGTAAGCTTACCATTCGATGGAGAGCAAGAGGGTAATTCGTACAGTAGTTGGGAATATTCAGTAGTCATTGGCCGCAGCCCTTTTGGGAGTCGCCCAACCTCTTCTGTACTACCTGCCTCTCCTGCTGCAAGTATAATCCAGCTTCCCTGGATTATTTCCGATAACGTTAGCATGAATATCCGTCCCTCCCCTGGGGAATCCGGATAACAAGGGTCGAACCACGAGGTATAAAAGAGCGAAGTAAAAACCGAAGATTACGCACCGGCCCTACAGTATACTAGTAGTATGATTTTCACTTCTAACGTGAGTATAGTACTATAATATTAATAGTACACTAGTATGTACTATTAATTTGTACTTCGAAATATTAATAGTATGTTATACTAGAAAGTGGCAGATTGTCGATTACTACGTAGTACTTACTGTTAGTTATCGACAACCTGCCACTTGCTAAACGGCAGTGTATCACGCGCATATCTAAGCTAACGTGAAGCTTAAAGTTAAGCTTAGAGGCACTGTATTTTTGCACGATCCCATTGATATTCCAATAGGGGGAGTCAATTAGATTTCGAAGGCACCAAGGGTATCGGGATTCGGGTTACTCTAAAAATTTATATTTGAGAGTACTCGTACAAGTTTTGCTTTATTAAAGTCAAAATGAATACTATTTTAATAGTATTCATTTCAATAAAGCAAAACTTGTACGAGTATCTTTTAAAAAAGATATAGGTTATTAAGTGTAAATGTGCTTCATTTCCGTCATGTTTTGTGACATACTTCCTCTGTTCCAAAATACTATTGTGGGTATTTTTGAGTGAGGTCTATACTTGGAAATTGTATTGGAAGTTGCACTAGGATCTGATATATTTCTGAGAAATTTCGTATTTTTATTCAAATTCACATTTTTACGACCAACCGGATGAGGATGTGACGCACACAGTCATGCGAGCAGCAGGCATAAAGCACAGATCAAATCGATATAATCTTCGATAAGAAGACCTATATCATGAAATACAAATACACAAGGCTTCTATTGACATATACTGCTTTTGTCGCATGAGGCATCACGACACTTGGCTCAGATTTCAGATCATTCAACGCAATGTTTACTATTAGCATATTGATGGAACTACTATAAAGGGTAAGTTTGCTCAAGCACCAGGTTGATAAGATTTGCAATAGCATTGGCTATAACAAAGGAATAGATGCATTCATAGTGGTCATTATTGACTTACTCGCGAGGTCGTAGTGCTGTTGTCCATGTTTCCCCATGGTTATGTAGGAAAAAGCGCTCCACGACCAGGTCTTCCAAGTCTTGCAACATAGATACCTCGGTATGTAGTGTGATTTAGGCGATTTGGAGGATTGCTAGCTATATCTACGCATCAATACGAGTCGTTTGAGTCTACAATCTCCACAATCGAACCAGAAATGAATGAATGGCCGAGATTTAAAGTAAAAACATCTGATAATACTTTCTTGTATGGAGTCGATCTCATCCTCGACTGCGAATAAAATTAAACAAAACATATGTCCTTGTTCCACATGGAATAGGCTACAAAACAAGCCTAATTAGGGACAAATAGCGATCATACTTCATAAAATATGTTCCGTCCTGTAGTGCCTGTAAAACCAACCAATCATCGCATTAGATGAAGTATTATTAATAGTACTAGTAGTATACTCCGACTATGTACTCGAAGTACAATACTGTACTAATATTAATAGTAGTATACTCGTATGTGTGGACAGGATGACATCATTTTGGTCACATGTACTGTACATGATGGAGTACATATGTGTGGATAGGATTACACTTGCCTACAGATGCAAGCTACATAATTTATATTTTTTTCATAAAGTTTGATCTTGCACGCTACATCTAACTGCGGCCAATGAGTACATACAGTAGGAGTAAGAGCTTCGCACCCAAAGAACTTGTCATGTAGAGATAGAGCACGCGTGGTTCTGTACAGTTTGTTGCTTGAAGTTTCCCAAAACCTGTCCAGTGTCATTCTTCGATCCATGTACGCCTTCTCTCAGACAGCATAGACAGGCCCAGCTGGGTACTGTACGTCGGAATCAAGTCACGCAACGTTTGAATTGTCCAATCAAATTCAACTCTTCAAATTTGAAAGGGCTAATCACACTTCACTATGATTCACAATTAAAAAATTATTGGCAGTACCACTGTGCGCGAGTTCCTGCGCATCAGATTATAATCTACAGTAGCTTCCCTAGAGTCAAGTTGCACTTCTCCAGTACAGTCATCCCCCGATTTTTGCAGCCTGGTATAAACGAATATCCTGTGTAATCCCATCGAATATTCAATTTAACAGGTTATTGAAAAATTAATACTGGGAACTCAAATGCGGTGCCAGCACCAAGTCATATCACAATATCACGAGCGTTGTCCATTTGCCATGCGAATCCTTGCAAAGTGGTTAACTCTACATACACGATGACATGGCTGTCGGAATAAATTCGAGCACTGGATAACAAGCTAGGACGTTGTTCGATGTTTCTACTGTAAGAATGAGAGTGTAACGTAGAAAACCAATTTAAGGTGCTCGAACCATTTAATGGTGCACTTGAATCAGCCAATCAAATATAGTAAAAATACTAGGAGATAACCTCCATAATCTAATACACCAAATGAATTTTGGCGCCTGTCTTGTTTTGGCGCCCGTCATGCCGTGACCGCGATCCCGATATACACGCGTTGAGCTTGACAGAGCTGTTCAAGATGTGCTTGCTGGGCGAAACGGGAAGCAAATGGCGGCGTTCTCCAAGATACCCTACAACACCCTGATGAAGTATGTGCGCGCGACAAAGGCCGGCACCACCATGACACCAAAGCGCCGTGGGCCACGCCCTACCATGCCGACAAGCTGTGAAGAAGACCTGGTGGCATGGATCGGTGGAATGCAACGCGACGGCCATCCGCCCGAGCGGTATGCGATCCTCGTAAAGGCCAACCAGTTGGCTCGCATGATCGATCCATCGTTGTCGTTGACGTCGGGTTGGTACCATCGTTTCCGCAACCGCCACCCCCAGCTTACCAAAAGATGTGCACAAGTGATTTCACATGCTCGGAACCACGTGGACTTGGACGGAGTACAGCAGCTGTACGAATCATTGTCGGCGACGATCTTGGAGCATGCGCTGACCCCTGACCGCATCTTCAACATGGATGAAACGGCATTCATCTCAAGAAAAAAGTCCAATG